AGGAGGCACAGCGGCAGAAGGGTGAGTTGGGGAGGGCGCAAGTGTGGCACGGTGGTCCCCTTGGCGACGTCTCTGACCCCAGGAGACTTGACTTTTGTTCTGGCGCCCCGGGCGCTCAAATTCACTGCGGGGCAGCACGAGGTTTCGAAACGCCGGCGAGGAGAGTGTGTGATGCGCGCCTGTGCGTCTGCCTGTGTGTGTGTGTGCTTTCGCGATTGGGCGCGCTCTGCCTTTGACTGAGGTGCTCACTGACCGCAGCGCCGACGACCCGCGCGGCGCCCCTCTGGCCCTTTGCGTGCTTGCCCGGGGCGTGCGTGCGCGAATTTCGGCGCTTGTTTGGTGAGTGAGAACTTCTGCGCCGCCGCGGCTCGCCCTTGCAAAGTCAACGTTAACTGACCCGCGACGCTATCAGCGCCTGCAAATTCGCTCGATGCATGGCACTGTGGCGCGCCCCTTTTGCATTGCGATTTGCAGCTCGGGATTTTTAAGTCAGGCTTTGTGGCCGCTGGAAAATTCGTCGCCGGGTGTAGCAACCCGAGCTACCTACAGTTACCGACGGGAGGAGTTTCAGGCTCGATTGCCTTTCGTCGCATGAGTCCGTTTCCGAAGACGGCGCAGCTTTGGTTCAGAACGCGTCTCGGAACGACCAGTATTCGTTCGGCGCAGTAAATTCCAGCATTTAAAGGAGTATCAATCTCATCTCCCCTAAAGAGTAATGTGGTTCAGCCGGGCGCCTCGCCGCGCGGGGGCCATCGATGCAGCTACGATACGGGGTTCGGTGTAGTACATTGGTCGTATAGACGAACATTCGCCTCCGCCGTCCGATTTGGGGCCGGGCAGGTACAGTCGACGGCTCAGGCGGCAATCCTTCAATTTTTCGCAACGAATTTGGTGCAGACTTCAATTGAGGAATCCCCAGAGCAAGCGACACCATGAGGCTCACGCCGTCATGTCTGGCGGTCATCTTGGCTGGCTTGTTGCTTAACAGCGGTGAGTGTTACCAGGCGGAGACCTGGTTCAGTCAATTTTATGTGGATCTCGCGCTTGGGCAGATTGTTGCGGAAGGGTGTAGCAAATTTTCCTGAGTGGCTTGAAAAGTGGCGCTTCTTGATGGCACTTGAGTTTTGATTCCCACTATCAGCAATTGCTTTACATCCATGAAGATTAGGGTGTCACACTTTTTTTTCATACCGTTGATCGCACTATATGCTCAAAGCAAACAGGCCATGGATACAGGTTTACAGGTTCCTGAAAGATGTGACCGAATCCATCAATTCATAAAGTATTCTATTTGTTAAATTGCTACGTTTAGTTCATTTGCATTGCCAAAATAGCAATAAATTGAATGAACAAGTATCAGCAGTGGATTAAGTCAGTGGCTTCTTGAATTGTCGTATGTTACTCATCATTCACTTCAATGTTCATTCAATCATCAACGTGATCGTTTTCTAATAAAATAAGACGCTTCAAAATGTTTCATAATATAGTAACAGTTGTCGCTGGCATCAGTGGGCAATATTCCTATTCATCAAAGTTCAACGCATAGCTTTCTTATGCACGCAGACTATCCACGATTAAGTCATGAAATGGTCAAAGAGAATTTCAATCACAGCAGTCCTCTCTACTTACGGCTATTTTGTCACACCGCGCGTCCACCATTTCTATTCCTAAACCGGACAGCCAAAGCTGTTCGAGCCACAAAGGTCGTTTTACTAAACCCTGATAGGCAACAATTGCGAGGTAATGAAGAAGCCCAATTGCTGGAATGTTGGAAAATTGCCATCGCGCCCGTTCATACCCCTCCCTGATGTGCTGCAGCTCGGGCGCACCACGAGTACTCATCGTATGATGCCTACTCCTCTCGCCATGACCACGGTTACGGTCCCTACAAGTCCGTCAGCTACGGCGACGGCTACGGCGGCGACAAATACGGCTACGGTGGGCACTCTTCTTACTCCAGTGGCCACGGAGGCCACGACGGATATGGAAAAGATGACTACCACGGATATGGTTACGACGACCATGACGGATACGGTTACGATGACCATCACGGATACGGTTACGATGGTCATCACGGGTATGAGCACGATTACGGGCACGACGATGATCATTATGGGAAGCACGATCATTATGACGGGTATGACGGATACAAGAAGCACGGATATGACTACGGTTATGATGAATACGATGGATACGATGAACATGGCGGATACGATAGTCACGACGATCACTACGGCGGATACGGCCACCACGACCACTATGGGGGTTACGACAGCTACGAAGAACCTGACTACTACGGAGGCTATGACAAGCACCATTACAGTTACGGAGGGTACGCCCCCTATGAAAAGACCTATTATAACGATAACCACCAGCACTACGATAGTCACCACCGTTATGGGGGCTACGACAAGTACGAGGTGCCAAATTACTATGAGACGCATGACCATTACGGGGGATATGACAGCTACAAGGAGCCGGACTACGGCTATGGTGGCCACGATCATTACGGTGGCTACGACAGCTACAAAGAGCCCGACCACGGCTATGGCGGCCACGACCACTACGGCGGATACGACGGCTATGGCGATCACCACTATGGATATGACAGCCCCAACCACAACAAAAAGAACGGCCATTATGGAGGCTACGACAGCTACAAAGAGCCTGGCTATGGCTATGGCGGTTACGATCACCATGGCGGATACGGGCATGACGACCATTATGGGGCTTATGACAGCTACAAACAAACCGGAGGGTATGACAAGCACCATGACACTTACGGTGGGTATGGCCCTCATGAAGAGTCTTACTACGACGATGACCACCATTACTACGATAATGACCACCATTACTACGATAATGACCACCATTATGGGGGATACGCCAGTTACAAAGAGCCTGACTACGGCTACGGTGGCCACGATCATTACGGTGGCTACGATAGCTATACACAGCCTGACTATGGCTATGGCGGTCACGAACACTACGGTGGGTACGATGGCTACGGCCATCACCATGGGGCCCACGACAGCTACAAAGAGCCTGACTACTACGGGGGCTATGACCATGGCGGTTACGGAGAGTATGGCCATTATGGGGAGTCCGACCACTACGGGAAGAACGACCACTACGACACGTACAAAGCGCCCGATCACGACTACGGCTATGACAAATACGGCGGGCATGGTAAATACGGCGGGTACGACAGCCGCGACCATCACGACGGGGGATACGGTAGCTACAAAGAGCCCGACTATTACGGGGGGCACAATCACTACGGGGGGCACGGCGGCTACAAGAAGACCGACTACAGGACAGGTAAGTACGGCGGCAGCTACGGTGGATATGGCAGCCATACTGTCGATTACGGTTATGGCCATGGCACATACGATGGGAAGGGTTATGAGCCCTACAAAAAGACCACCTACTCCACGGGCTACGGCCAGTACGGGGGCCATGGCTACGGATACCAGTCGACGGGGAGCAGCTACGGCAAGACAGACAATTCGTACAAACCGCATGTCGAGGTCCAGACGGGCGGCGACAGCTACACAAAGGAAGGCACGGCGGCGGCGAGCGACCAACCTGACAACACGCCCGCGAAAAGGAAGCTCATGGGAAGGAAGCTCATGGCGTGAATGAAGATGGCGCCGGGATCCGCACACCACAGGTGGGCAGGGCATTTGGTGCAATGGAGATCGAATTCGGCAATGCCTTTTCGACAAAACGGATGGCAAGGAAATATGGAAATACAGGGAATGACATTAGGAATAACGACCTGCAACATTCGCCGTGTGCGTGCGTGTATGCTTTATAGTGTGAACTGCTCGTATTGTACAGTGCACGCACAACGTTCCCAACTTTTTGCCACGCTGTTGGAACTGCCAGCATGAGAGCCAGTCCCGATCGCGTCTCCGCTATCGCTGTGCTCATAGCGGCCCACACAGCGTGAACCATATTCAATAATCCAATCCCATTTTGCGTATGAAGAGGAATGCTCTCAGCACAAATGTGCTTCGCTGTCTCCTCAGGTCGCCCTCGCTTCGTCGTGCTGGAGGCTCATCCGACACCAGACAATGCTCCATCCTGACGCGCAGCAGGCATGTTGTGGGGCACACCTGGGAAGGCTGTTCATAGAGATGGCAGAGTCCGAGGAAGGGACTGCTCCATTTTGGGCGCAGCCCTTGGCGGGCCTTCTGCCCTTGTCGCAGTTGGATGCCAGGGGGACGGCACTGAAACACGGGGGACAAAACGCTGGTTTGGCTCCCTGCGACGTCCATCACCTTTGGTAAGGGGTGCAGGGGGAAAAGTTGTATCAGATGTTTGAAGAATTTAATTCGAGGATTATTGGCTCTCTCGCTGCGAGCTCTGGGCTGAGTCTAGAGGACAACGCATGAACAACGGCAATCGCATCGACATGGTGACATATCGAAATATGTCATGGCACAAGGGGGCACAGCCCGCCCAAAATCAATGGCGCCGTCTTGACACGAACATTTGACCAAACGGGCAAAAGCTGTCGTGCAAAATGCAGCACCACGCCTGTAACGCCTGTGCGCCTGCTTGTGAACCCATTGAGGGGGTGGCTCCCGACCAATGCATACACTCCGCCAGCCCCGCGCATCTGGCGCACCTGACGCCCGTGCATGGGACCCTCCCCGAGCCCCGAACATAAGGGAGGCGCCAAAACGCCAACGACTTCAACGCCTTTCCATTATAGCGCCGAGCGCTCCGGCACCATGGCTGGCCGGCGTCCCACGCACAAAGAATTACAAGAATGTTAAGAAATTAATACAATTCTGGGCTTTGAAGACCATTCCAAAAGAAAAACAAACGAAAAAAGATCCGACTCCGTCTGAGACCTCCCCACATCTCCCGTCTCGGCTCCAAGCCTCCGAAGTTCCCCATTGCAAAGCCACGGCGGCGCACACTCAGCTGTCCTACTCCCCTAAACCTAACCTCCAGGAGCCTCCCATCCTAGGTCCTAAGTGCTGCTGCTACCTGTCGCCCTGGAACAGCAGCCCCGGCAGCTGGTCGGTGAAGAGGGCCCCCAGGGCGCGGCGAACCGACATCTGCCTGCTGCAGACCAGGCCGGCCAGATGGGGGAACAAGTCTCGAAGCTGCACGAGCAGCTGCTCACTGCGGGTGCTCCTGTGGCGGACCATACAGCAGGACAATGACTCATCACATGATCACATTGATCAATGGTCTTACTGCATGACAGTGGTTGATAAAATGAGTGTAATGGTTAATTCAGGTCGACTGACGATCAACAGATCGTGATGATCAGGTGGGGATGGGTTACGGCTGGTCCACCATGGTGCAACATCGTCATGACACCGGTGGCTCAACAAACGGGCCCGCTCCGCAAGCATTGCAATTGTTCGCGACACCCAAATGCTGCACTGCATGCACCAGGCAGCAAAATGCAAGACAAGTCCGTGGACAGTCACGCCCACAGCTGTGCTGGTGTATGGCAGCCATTGGCGCAAGCTTTCAGCGCGTTGTACTGCAGGGGTGGTATCACTCATCCAGCAAAAGCCTTTGGGGACACAGTGTTCGGACCAGCTGCGCCTGTGGTGCTACAAGCACATTGATCAATATAGTCAACATCAAAACACAATCAACAACCAGACTATGAAATAAATCAATTCAAAAACAAATAAGCGACTTCACAACAGGGGCGGATTCTTCAGCCGCACAATAGCCAGACAAATTGGCCCAGGCCAGGCAGTGGAATGTACAGGAACCAGCCGATGGCGCACATGGGATCTGCCTCACCTGTACGCTTCCAGTGCCTTGGCCACGAGTGGCGCTCTGACGGCCTGCTCCCACTGGGGCCGCAGCGGCACCGCCGCCGCCAAGACAGGACCCTCCGATGAGTGTGCGCCCCGCGAAGCGGCTGCAGCTTCCTCGGCGGCCTGTGTGATGAGGCCCTTGCAGAAATCCAGCAGACGGGACTCTGCGGCATCCTGTGGGGAAAGGAGCACGGCATTGGCAGGTCAGCACTGGTGTATTGCATTCATGGCAACGGGCCAGCAGTATTGTGTCAGGGCGATCGAACTCCTGGCATCCAAGTAGGAGGAGGGTTCTTTGGAATCGTGGTGTGCCTGGTAGGGTTTTGGGCTCTCTGTGTGTCCGCCCCCCCACCCCCACCCCTACCCCCACCCCCACCCCCACAAAAGAAAGAAGGGAAAGGAAAAACACATTGGACGTGCACTGGTGCTTGCGTTCTTGATGCATGGTAAACATGTGTTGGATGCGAGGAACTCAACAGACTACAATCTGGCCAAAATCATCGCATCAGCAACACACCACCCTACAATTGCCCAGCCTCTGAGTCAGCCCCACCTTGTTTCCCTGCACAAGGCAGTCCTGCAGCGCACTAATAGCCAGGCTGCCGCCCTCCGCCTCCAGCCGCAGCAGTCCCCGGAACACGGACTCCCCCGTGTCCGGCATCCTCATCATCAGCTCCGGCAGCCCACTCCACCAGTCTTCTGAGTCCGCTGAATCCACACTGCCACCCCCAGGCCCCTCCAATCCCACAACCGACCCATCATCATCACCAACTGACCCATCAACCTCAGGCACTGCCCCATCAGCTCCAGACGTCCCTGCCTGCTGCGCCGGTCGATCGGGCTCCTCTGCCAGTGGGCTCCTGGGCATGGTGGGCTCGCCACCACGCCCACAGCTTCCCGCACTTTCTGTGACGTCAGCTTCTGCTTCGTCCATGACGTCATCCATCGATGCATCATCGCCCATCACAACCAAGCCTGTGCTCACCGGGATCGCCTCCTCTTCCTCGTCCCCATCTTCCCAGTTTGCAACAGTTGGCAAGACTTCCCCTTTGCCTAGAATCCCACCAGGCATTTCGCCAGCTGGAGAATCAACTTTGCCAGAGTCAGCTTTGCCTTCGATTAGTTGAATACCAACGATTTGTTGATTATCGCTGATTTGTTGATTGCCAACGATCTCCAGATTGTCAGCAATTTGTTGATTATCGCCTTTTTGTTGATAATCGATTTGCTGATTATCGCACTGCGCTTCACCCCGATCCACTGCGTCGGGACCTGTTGATGCAATCCCCTTGGCCTCCTGGAGAGCCGCAGGCTGGACGTCACCCCCCACCGCATCCGGAGTCGTTCCTGATGGGTTTGCGGCCACGGCGTCCTTGGCGTCTGTGGCAGGGGGCCTGTTGAGCGTGTCCGCCGCCGCGTCTGCTCGCATGCCCTTCTCGATCTCGCCCCTGTCCGGTGTGCGCTGCCAGCCCTCGGTGCGGTCTGTGCCCAGCTCTTCTGGCTCCTGCAGCGCGGACATCGACCACATTGGGTGGCATTCTTTCCATGTTTCATGTTTGTTTGGACGGAGGTGTGGAGAGATGGGAGAAATCAAACATGGACGAAAACTAGTGTCTTTACAACAGGAAACAAAGGGCGTAACAATTAATTCATAATTCAACAGATGCGTAAATACTTACAATGAGTTTACAAGCTTAATGGTCGGTTGTAATGAAAATGGCGCCTTCCGCAAGCCAATGTATGGAGATACTGACGAGCAACGAAGACAGTGAACGCAGGAATTTCAGGCAAGAGACAACAATATGTCCATTTACAACAATGTATAACATATATGCTGCAATACATTGCCGGATGTTTGATTGCTATGTAATGTACATTAAAAACATGTGCTCAACAATATAGCAGACGATAGCAACATTGTTGCCACTGTCAAAATAGCAATTCGTTCTTCCAAGGAAAATTCGGGGAAGTTGTTTCTAAAGTGCCACGCCCGTGCGCCGCTGCGATCGCTTGATCCATTTGCCTTCCAAAAGAACCTGCCTATTCACTCATTCACCAATTACTCATTCTACTTGTCTACTTTCCTTGATTTTGAAATATCACGCAACCCGTCGCTCTCGCGCTGCACAGATTGAGCATCAAGCCGCCAACCGCTGCTGTAGCCAGAACTGACGCATAAAGAGGTGGTGAGACAATGGAAACTGAGTCAAGGTCATTGATGAATGGACCGGATATGCAAGGGACAGAATTCCTATTGTCTTTTCGCTCCGCTGTAAACCGCTGCCGTATACTCGAGCCTACGGTTGCCAGTCAGAGCCCGCGGCCCCCTGGACCCTGCCTGCCTTCTTCACCACCATCAGCACAACCAAGTCTCCGCCCCGCGCTGGCACATCCCCAAACCGCCCGCAGCCCCAACAGCCAAACCCCAAACCCCAGCAGCCACGCACAGAGCAAGTTGCACAAGGCCCACATAGCTCGTTATAGGGCAGGGGAGGCACCTGGACGCTGGAACATGACGTAATATTTCGGAATAGTGCTTAAGAAAATATTTCGGGATAACAATTAAGAAATCAAAATAGTTAAAAATCAAAAATAATGCTTGCTGCATAACTGAAAAAAATTCAATTTATAATAATAGAAAATAACTATAGAAAATAATTATAAAACAACGTAACAATAAACGTATTAAAACAATTACAATAAATGATTATTAAATCATCAGAAAAAGCTGCGCACCTCGTCCGACTCCAGGGTCTCTGAGGCCACCTGAGACAGCCGGTTGGTCCCGGCTTGCTGCAGCGCCACGTAGTCGCCCAGCAGCTGCAGGAACACGGCGTCCCGGTTGGCCGCCGTGGCCTGGCGCACCGTCTCCAGGAGCACGTCCAGCAGGTCCAGCTGCAGGCGGGAGGACAGGCAGGCGGCGTGCTGGCTGAAGACGCCGTGCACCAGGCGCTGGAAGAGCAGCAGGACCTGGCAGCGCGACCTCAGCGCGGGTAGGGCCATGGGGCCTGCACAGGGGGCCGCACGCGCTTTCAGGAGCTCGTGGCGCGATCGATCAAGCAATTCCCTACCCAACGAGTGGATCAATGGAACCATCAAGAAATGTGTCAACGATTATGTCATGATATCAACCACGCAAATGCTTTGCGTATTCGTATTTATGATTTACATATCTATATTATATATCAGTATTAGTATATATGGTGTATATATATATGTGTGTGTGTATATGTATATGTATATACAAATAAGTACACTGTGTACATATAGTATTTATTTCTAAATAAAACATTTGCTGCTCCCCAAATCAACTTGTCAAATAATCGGTGAAGCAATCAAAGAATGAATATCGAGTGTCACGGCGATGGGTGCATCAGCCAGTTCCCTATTTCGAATTAGAAAATCAGGTTGACACATTTTTCGGGTAGCACCAGTATAATTCATCATTTGAGAGGTGGATTCCCAAGGGTGCAACCAAACAGTGACAACAACAGCAATGCAGGAAGGAGAGCAATGAAAGGCAGCCACCATCCACTGCTTCTGAAAACTGAACAAGGGTTGAACAGCACAAACAATGAAAAACGTGCACACAATGCAAGGAAGGAACACAAGATGAAAAGGGTGGTATGCGGGGCCTTTCGCCAATCACCTTCGGGTCCCTCCAGCCAAGCCAGAAATGGCACCACGTCATCCACTGCGCCGTTCTTTGGCAAGTCGCGCGGATCTCCAGAGCACACGCACTGCCGCCAGGCCTCCTTCAAAGTGGCCACCACAACTGTCCATCCCGCAGGGTCCAGCACGCTGGCCGTGCAATCGATTAGGGACTGTGGTGAGCAGACACAACAGCTGTAAATCAATACACGAAAGACAGCAGCTAAAGCAAACACGCTCCACGTCGGAACGACTCCCCTAAACAGAGTCGCCAACGCTGACAAGCCATGAACGCACAATTGCACATTGAGGCAAAAACAACTGTTATTGTCCATACAATGAACAAGACGAAGATGCCAACGACTGAGAATCAGGACAGGAAAATATCCAAAGCAAAAGGCTGACAATAGAAATAAGGAGAAAAATTGAACATGTGAGCAACGAGAAGAAGAGCTACCATGGAAAATGCTGGAGCTCATGCAAAACAGATAAGGGAAAATAGGAGTTGAGCATGTTCCCACCTGCAGTAGCGCCACCCCCCCGACTGCAACTGCCTGCAGTGACTGCGCCATCCATCCGACAAACAAGTCGAGGAAGTGGGGCAGCAGGAACGGCCCTATTTTAGCGTATTGACTGCTGAGAGCCAGCCACAGTGTTGGCAGGTATTTGGCAGAGTAGGACAGCAGACGGTCGATGCCCCCTGGAATGCTGTAACGCTCCTGCAATTGGGAATCCACCGGACAGAACAACCCCCTTCAGCAGAAGCGCCACCAAGCCTGCAATTTCGCAGTGCTGGGAATGGCAGCTATGGCCACTTTGAAATCTGCAGGAGCTGTCCATTCATTCTCTGTGAGAGCTTGCACTGTGGCAACAGAGGGTTGCTGATGAATATCTGTCTTGAAACAAATTGGCAAACCTCGGATAGCCAATCTGGACCAAGCGCTATTTGGTCCTGTTCATGAACATATGATCGAAGTGGATTTCTGAAGAAGACACAGGGGGTTTCAGAGGAAACCATGATTCAGCTCTGCTCATGTTTCGTTACTGTGCATTGTCCTCGCAGCACAAGGAGACATACTGGTGAAAAGAGGCCTTGGAAAACTATTCCTCATAGTGGGCCGCATATTGTGCAGCTTGCTTCCTTGCTGTCAGACGATCCCCACCTCGTTCATGTCAAACACTCCACACACCGCATCCCTGAAGAACGCCTGCCATGTGTCCAGCTCCCAGCCCCTGCTAGTCGCCTCGTCAGCCAAGCCAAACAGCACCTCTGCAGCTAGGTCCGCGCAGCGCCGCCTGCTGTCGTGCGTGATCACATCCACGAGGGCCTCAAAGAGGCGCGCCCAGGCAGCGTTTGGGCTGCTGAATCCCACCTCCGGGTGTGGAGAGGGTGAGCCCGGGAGGTCCAGGATTGGGGAGGGGGCGCTGTTGCTGCGGCAGAAGAGGCGAGGGGTATTCTCTGGGGAGCCGTCCATGTCCACTGATGATGCACGAGCTAATGGTATGCACAGGGAAACATGGTGTCAATGACAGGAGTTCAGCACACACGCTTCTGCAGCTTTCATGTTCAGCAATGCTATCAGTCCTACACCAAACAATGGCATTGCAGTGCGATTTCAATGCTCAAAAATCGTAAACACTTCATGTTTAACTAATAAACATCCACAGCAGTATTGCAAGATGAAATCCTCATGATTCACAACGTTGCAATTTACGCACAGCAGCATGATGATCTTCAAGCTCCATGATCACACATTGGCAAAAATTTCGTGCGTGCTGAATACATGACTTTTGGTCTGTTCCTCTGGCACTTCCCATGCTTTAATGGCTGGTATCCAATACTGTGGTTGCTGATTTGTTCCTCTCTGTGGAACTGATCGGTGGAAGGGGCAACATGGAACAGGTACTGCACTAACAAGCAACCCATCAGGATCGACTTCAACTCTGGTCGTCGTTGGCAGTCCAAGGCAGGTTGCCATAACGCCAAACAGCAACATTAGCTGCCATTCATTGCACAGCTTAGAGCAGATGCAGATGGTCCACATTCAAAAGGGCCAGTTTCGCATGCCACAGCAAACGTCCCGTACAGGCAGCAAACACAAAAGCCAACGGAGCAATGGCCCTTGCCCAATACAGTTCCAGCTCAGTGCAATCACTCCAACTCGAATTGGGACATGTCAACAAACCAACCTTGGTACATTCAACACAAACAGGACCTTGAGCAAGTATCCCACTGTCCACATTGCTGCAGCACCAGACCAACAGCCTGTGCACCTGCAAGGGTGCTCCACCATCACAGTCAAGCGCAGGGAGTCAAGAAGACAAAGAGCTGCACAGCAGGTCTTACTGGGTGAGCCATCCTCAGCCACCACCGGCTTGGCCAACTCCTCTCCACAGGTTCCCAATAGGTGGATGGCAGCCAAGCTGCAGTCCGCGTGATACGGGTTGCGCGCCGCTCTTGAAGTTGCTGTGATGCACTCTGCCATCACGTCATATCCCTCACCCCACCACCCCCAGTGGCGCTGCACGACCGACCCTATGGTGTCAACTGCCTGCCGCACTACTGATTCAGCAGGGTCCTCGGCCGCGCAGCACAGCAGTTCCATGCCTACTGCCCAGCCTGCATTGCGACAAGTCAAACCCACATTCAAGCGACTTGCGTGTCGAGTTCGCTCAATTGCATGTGCCAACACAAGCCAAGCACAGCCCTTGCTAATGTGCAGTGTTTCATGCATAGTGCTCATTTGAGAATGCTTGTGCACTGCCCTTCTCTCCGTTGTATGCCCTGGGTAGTCAGCAAGTCAGATAAGGCTGTGGCGATTCCTTTCATTACGGCTGTCAAGGTTTGTTGGATGGTGATCGTGGAAAGCAGAGGCATTGTAGCAGCAAAGGCACTGTAGTGGTGCCCCTGCAGGCCCATATCGGTGATTGCCACTGTGCCATTGTGCAGCCTGTTGACATGATTCTCGTATGTGGACTCTGCAGATTAAGGGCTTCTGGTCCTGCATATACTGGCCCAATCATAAGCCACCCCACCACACCTGCTGTTCCTTCCATTATTGCATCAAACAACATATCTGCAATAAGGCACAATTATATACCACAGTATACACAGTTTTCCACAGTTTTCACTTCTTGGGCGCTATGGCCCTTTTTGTCTCCAATACATGTACACACAACACTTTGCCGGCAATAACACTATCAGCAATAATGCTTGTTGTTGCTACCCAGAAGTACCATATGCTGCGGTGATCTGTAGCTGGCCTCCATGGCTACCAGTTCCCCCCTCCCACATCACCTGATCCCAGCCGCTTGCTGTGCGTGTTCATGGCCTGGTCCACACACTGCACTGTCAACTCCCGGACCGCCACGCTGCTGCAGTGCTTCTCCACCATCACAAAGGGCCGCAGGGCCTCCCCTTGGTGAGTGAAGTGTGCCAGCTCCGAGCGTGACAACAGTTTCCCCACAAGCTGGCGCAGGGAGTCCACTGCATACATTGCCACGGTCTGGTCAGGGTGGCACGCGGCGCCCACAAGATGTGCAGAGATGACTGCCCACAGGCGACCCCACACAAGACGGATGCGTCCCAGGTTGTAGTAGGCGCACTCCACTAGCTTCCGGAGGCTGAACACCCTGCAAGCCACTCAGGCAGCAAACCGTCATCAAGCTGGTGTTGTAGCTCCTTTTCTGAGTCCAAAGCCACTGAGTAGCACTCAAGAGGCCATGTTCTGCCAGCATCTGGACAGAAAAGATGCGGGCTTTGTGCTCAGGTTGCTGTGCTCCACAGCATCATTGTGGATGGAGTTGCACGGGCTGTTGCCCCAAAAGGTGAGGGAGCTGTGCCTTTGTCACCATTCGACAAATATCATCAAGCATTCCATATGCACAGCCGACAACTAGATATGGGCAACACGCGGCATTGCTTAGTGGATGTGGGCATTGCAGTTAATCAACTTGCCCTTGCCTGGAATGCATGTGGGTGTAGCGATTACTGTCAAGCTGAATGGTTCCAAACCAAGTTTGTAGAAACCATGTTGGTGTGCAAGGCAAACGGACAAATATTCCCAAGCAATCGTTCCAGAAAGACATCACCAGTCATGCTCCTGACAAAACTTCACATGCATCCCCACTTATGACCAATCAGGCACCTGTACCGCACCTTGGGGGTGAGTCATCTTCTGGGTTAAGTTCCTCTTGGCTGACTGCGCAGAGTGCTCGTGTGAAGACCAGCACAGCATCGCCATTCAAGTTGCTGCTGGCTACATACACATGGTCCGTTTCGGCACCTCCCTCTCCGTCAGCCCACAGACGTACAGCTGTGCCCACAGAATGGGATCTTGAGTGACCTCGTGCACTGCCCAAGGCGGAGTCTCCTGTTCAAGGTACATAAGGTGAAGTGAGCCCCATGCATGGTGCTTGCGGGCAGCTCGATGGCGAAAAGGACAATACGAGTGAGCCTACATAGGCTGCACAACCGCCAGTTTTCTTCTTCCGCAGTTGTGCAGATCAACAGCCATGAGAATTGGATGCTGCTGTTACTGTCGTCGACTTGCATTCGCTCACTTTGTTGCTTTACATTTTGATGCAAGCGGTGCATTCAAATGCAATCATTGTCATATTCGCTATGACAAAGAAGGCCCTTGACCTGAAGCCTTGCTGAAGCACGGATTCACAGGTGTTGAAACGCGAGTCAAACGGATAACCTGGGGCTCAACTTGGTTTGCACTTCACTCACCTTTCCCATTCCCTTGCTTCTTACCCTCCCCCCCAGCCTTGTTTTTGTCCCCGAACCCTAGTCCGGACAAGAACCTTCCGATGCTGCCCCCAGACCCAGCCTTCTGCCAGTCCAGGCCTGAAAAGTCCAGCTCCAGCTTGCCAAGCTTGAAGCTCTTAGAGGGGGCATGGCCTTTTGCTGAGTCCTGTGGGGAGCGCCGCATCTCAGACACAAGGGCCTCCACCGCAGAGAGGGTACGTAGGATGATGGTCCAGCTGCCTCCCAACAGGCCGGCCTCGTCGCTGGTGCCCAGGCTCACCAGAGCACGCAAGGTCAACACCTGGCAATGGGGATCTGGCGCCGCAAGGAGAGGGGCGATCAGGCACACCGGTTGAAGAATTGTTGTAGTGACAAGGACAAAAGGTCATACAATGAGCACCCTGTCCTGGGCAGAAAAAGCTTGTGTGGCAGGATCGTGAGTATCAGGTGAGTGGCTTGGTTTGGAGCAAGCTTACTTGCTGAACTGAAAGAACTGAGAAACTGTGAAGAATCGAAGGGTTGAGAAGTGAATCGACACAGGGCATTAGCACAAGATCGTGCAAGGCAGGACGGTAAGCAATCGCACAAGAACTCAATGCACATGTTGTCACACTCCAGTCTCATCTACTTTTAAAATCAGAATTCCTCAATTTCTCCAGTTCTTTAATTAATACTTCAGAAGTACTATTCAGGAAGTTCCTTCACTTCAAAGATACAGCCATCTTCCTTTGCAATTTCAGTGCAGCTGGCTTGTATTGAGCTTTCAATTGCCTGCACTATGTGTGCATCAGAGCAACCAGGAGGGAGCTGCTCGGATGGGATTGTGGACAGGTTGGAAGAGGCTGCATTGGCATGGAGCACTGAGCAATGACTGCCTGTGCTGAAGAGCGCATTTGAGGCCTTCCTTGCCAGTGCCCTACACATTCACACTTCATGAAATATCTATCCACAAGGTAGATCAAAAGCAGCACACAATGCGGAGGAGAGAAGGTGCTGGCCTCCGGAGCTGTTGGCCACAACGCATGCATATGCTGCAAGTGCAAGTTGTCAAGTATTGTCATCAATTCCCCATTGACCCAATGGCAAATATCAGTGGAGTTCACGTTTGTCCCTAGACGTCTGTATGCTCATGATTTGCTCATGCGCAGACCACCATCATGGTGTGGATAGTGCTGACACCCACTTGCTCGCAAAAGCGCCTTCTTGTTCTGCACCCCAGTTGCCTGTGCCAATGCCCCAACGAACTGGCCACACAACACGTCCAAGCTGAATAGAGCTGCGAGCCTGATGCACACAAACGATTGTCTCTTTAAAAAGACTAAACTTGTGCCAAACAGAGAGCTGCTCATCCTGAGCAAGGTAAGACACATGCCCATTGCACAGCAGTTGCCAGAACAATGGGGACCGCACGCCAACACAGATCAGCACTAATGGTAGCACAAAGATTGCACAGGTGACTTTGGAGATGCAGATTTCGCCCAGGAGGGTACCATGACTGAAAACATATAACAAAACACATCGCACAATAGGCAGCCCAAACCTGAGCAGGATACTGCCAGACTCTTTTCCACGCCACAGTAGAACAGGTGCCAGCATCCAATTGCAATGGGAGGAGCACACAACACAGCCATGCGTCCCTTCAGGCGGTGTGGTAAACAAACCCAAACTTCAACAAACATGATTTCTGCAACCATAATCAAACATTCACAATTGGATATGGGTGTCGCTGTTTCCCTGAGTAGCACACATAATACTCTTGACACTGCAACCACCTTCAAGGTGCAAGAACATTGTTTTGCCCTGTGAAGATAAACATGCCCAAAGGCAGTGAGAACATTGAGTACAGTGCTGTCCCTGTTACACTTACTAACATAGTACAAGCATCGTAAAGCATACACAGCAAGTTTAGCACACCTGATGCACACCACCAAAGACTTTATAGTCCTGATGGCTGCGTCCATGTCGCCCGCGCTGACGAGTGCTGCTGCCAGGGAGCGAAGCAGGTGTGAGCCCACAGCCTCCAACATGGGTCTGGCATGCTCGGCGTGAGAGCCCGTGTACCAGACATCACCGCGCGTCACACCGGACGCCACCATGCGCTTTGTTTCCTCTATCAGACGCAACTGCTGCACCTGTGCAGCGTGCTGTTTGTCCCATATTGTGCCCGACCTAACATGCAGCAAGTGCCTTTCAGTGGATGATTGTTCGATCGATTTGGCAGAACATTACAACACAAAGGCCCTACACCCACCAAAGAAACTGTGGGCATAATTCTGGTCCCTAGTTTAGAAAGTCTGTTGCATCTGGCTTCGCCTGAGTTATAGTGATCCTCACCGAGGACCACAGTTGTCTGAATTCAGGATGTTACAGACAGGCATAGGTCTGCGGTAGACTGGTCATCGTCTGCAAAGGAGAAACAAGACAACAGACACGCAAAATCCCCTGGAACCAAGAAAAAGAAGTTTATTGCCAACATCACTATGGTTTCTCGTCATCAATGAAGGAGTAATATCCCAGTCTACAAAGGAGATTCCAATGATGTAGAAAGAAGATTCCCAAGTGACAACACTGCAATGCAATACTCTGATCAAGCTGACCACGTGACAAACTTGGGAACCTATCTGTACATATTCTAATATGCTTCAGTGCTCATGGCAATGCCATCGATGTGCACCTGAAGGGTACAGATAGCTGTGTCAGACCCATAGCCGATGCCAGCCTCTTGTGAACAGCAGCCACCTCAGCCTGTCGCTTCTTGCTGGGCTTCGAGTTCCGGGTGCGGATTTCATTGGCCACTATGCGGTCATAGATGCCCTCCAGCTCCTCCTCAGGTAGGAACTGCAAAAAATGGCTTTGCGTTCAGCAGAGCAACATGGCGAAGAATCGAGGAAGTTCAGGTAGCAGAGATCAGACTGCAAGGTGAGAAGTGGAAGAGACAATCAGGCAACAGTCTGCATACTGGCAGTTGTGTGCATGTGAACTCTATCTGACACTTCCACACCTTATCAACCTTTCGTTATTCACCTTTGGTGATTGATTGTGCATAATGCGATCAAACGTCTTTATGCGAACGATCTCTTCCTTATTGAGGATTGCTGGTCAACTTACCCTCCGTTACTCACTCCCCATGTGCACTACTGTTTGTTGATGTAGTATACTGGCATAGTAGCATACTGGCACATATTGAAACCCATTTTGGCAAAGTCACTGCGGACTCCTGCAATCTGACTCTGCTTCAGCACTGCAATTCAGCAGCAACACATGGCATGAAATTCCCTGAATTGCAATTGTCGAAAATGGCTTGTCTCACATAACAAATGGCTTGCGAACTGCAGGCAGCGGCAGGTGCAGAAAGATCAATTCAGTGACTGTACTGTGTTCCAACAGCCTAAACCACAACCCATCACGTGACAAAGGTGTTTCACCACGTTGACAGCAGGGACAGAATCGCGCTCCGCAGTATACACTGCTATCCTGCAGGCATTTGCCAATTCGGTCTTACTCCACATATAGGCCAAAGATCTACAGTGGGACACATCAATGAGCTACATGGCTCTTCTTGATACACTAACGAGCTGAACATGTGAAACTGGGCTTATGCTGTTCCGCACAAAGTAAGGAATGCCAGTACAGTTCAAATGCTGTTGACGGCAATAACCACAGTTGGGAAGGCACAATTCACGCCCCAGTCCAGCACATTACCCATACAAGCAGCACATTATAGGTTGCTTAACATGACCTGCAAGGACAACCAGTTCAGTTCAGTTCAGTTCAGTTCAGTTTCGTTCCACCTTCTGCTTCCTAGGACCAGCAATACACATGAATAGGTGTATTCTGGCCGGCACACAACAATTGCACTCCAAGTTGCTGCACGGACAGTGAAGGGAATGTCAGTCCAGTTCCTCAGCAGCCATCAACAACTGCCAAAAAGAAACCTGCGCCCGCTCACCATGACCGCACCCTCGCCAGGCACCTCCTTCGTGTTCATCGACACAAACACCTCCTTGGTCAGCTTCTTGTCCGCCATGGGGTTGTGTGCATCGGTGGTCAACATGATCGTCGCAAACGCCAGCATGTATGCATCGTCAGCACTGCGAAACTTGCCTGGGTTCTCCTCCACATATCTTGCCGCAAACTTCTCCATGATTCTGTCGATTTTCTGCGCCTCCCCCGGCAGCCTGAATCCAGCCAGCAGCTTCCTCAGGGCTGCGTCGATGGTCAGGGACTTGTACTGCTCCCCATCGATGTACGCATGCATCACCGCAATGGGCATCGAGTCGTGGTGGCCAAAGTACTCTCCCATTTGGGTTTCATCCAGCTGGTCACGATTCTTGCGGATGAACCTGATCGAGCCCAGCATGCATGCAATCAAACACTATCCCAGGATGTTATTTCTCTTGTAGCGTGGTTTGGACCACTTCAGTGAGGAAACAACAGATACCCTGGAGGAAACAAGGTGGGATGGTCAACGCCCTGAAGGTGCACTGTCACATTTTCAGCAAATGAAAGGACTGGCAATTTCCACAGCACTGTCATGTACTTTAGCCTCTTGCAGGATATGTGCCCACTGTGGATTTGGCAACTGCTGTGTCTGTACCAACCTGACTGTTGCTAATTGACAGGGTTACACTTAACCTGCAGTCCTCTTGAGCAAAACCAGGACAGTGTCCAACATACAGAACTACACTGAAGACAACCACTGTGTTGCAATAAGGACATCAGTAACTTATAACATGACAACAATCACAACACATGTGCTTTCAAATTGGAGCTGTCTCCCACCTGGCAAGGTGTGTTGCTTTGTTTTGCACGATCCCAGCAGCCACAAGGGATGCGATCCCCTTGATTGGGTTCCGGTTGAACAACTCGATGCCCACAGAGACCTGGTTCTTGGCGGCCTTAGCGGCACCAAAGTGGTGCACCTCTGAGGCTTCCAGCTGCTTGAAGGAGCCGGACTTGCACAGTGTCGTGTCCAGCGAGGCCGACCTCTCAGCCTCCTGGTGGAGTCCATCAGCTTCTGTGGCATCTCGTATGGGGCCTGCAGTGGAAGGACACAATGGTTCTGTTGTTGAAACCTGGAGCATTATGATCCATAGCTATGGCACACAGTATTTGGTCTGTCATGCATCAATGCATTTGCTTTTGGTGTTGACCTCCGATGTATTGTACCCCATAGTAATAGCAAACACTCCCCTCGATTTGCTTGCAGCACAGTTTGTTGTTTACAACCATACTTTTGTCAAGTCCATCCTTCCCTGTACCTGGTGCAGATCACAGGTATGGATAATCGGAACAAATAGTGAGGCCCAGGCAGTAACAACGGCTCCACACCACCTCCAATGCCGCAAACGCTCTGCCCATAGTTTAGATAAGGTCAAACCCTGCCAGCCGAACTAATCTGTTACTCAAATGGAATAGATGTACCTCTGCCCCTTCAAATTCTGTCGTGTGTGTAGTACTGAAAAGCACTGTGAGAAACAACCATCCAAGGTTTGCATTACTAACCTGCCCATGCGTCCAGGCTTGCCACCATGGCCATCGCGCAAGCGGCAGCCGCATCGCGCACCAGTGCACTCTGCCCTGGTGCTGCCAAGGGGTCACCAAACTCAGCCAATTGACTCAAAGCCTTTGCAGTGCGCTCGTACAAATTAATCGAGTGCATGTCGCAGTCGAAATTGATATACAGGTCCACCTGCAGACACAGTCAAGCCACACTGTAACTCAGTGACACATCGCTCCACCTCTGTGCCATATCACTTGTGGCCTCCTGTTTGCATGAATATAGTAAGTCCAGCCAACAAGCATCTTGCTGCATCCTGTTCTCGCCCTGCTTCCATTCTGCAGTGTTGCACATTTGGGGTTAGCAGTACAAATTATGTGGACTCCACCAACTGTCGTGCTGCACAATGCCTTTGCTTGCACGGGCTGAACAGTGTGCACTGCAGCCCAAATCAAACACAAATTCGCTCAGTATCGGACAGCGGGTACATGGTTAGCACCGTGCCATATGCCGACAAGTATCAATGACCAATGTTAACAAAAGGATTGGCAGTCCAAGACATTGAATATGACATGCTGTATGAGCATGGGTGATTCGACGCACTCTCTTGACCTGTGGCCAGCTTGGATGCTGGAAAGAAATGTAGCAAGGGGCTGCCGGGATGATGGTGACGCAAGAAAAGAAAACAAACTGGCAGATGGAAGGTTGCAACTCCAGCACATGCAATGAACTCCACACCTGCATCTGTGGCTCCTTGCAGAGCCGCTTCACAGCAGTGAGGACAACAGTCAAGATGGCAGGCTCCAATGGCCCAGTCTCGATGGGCCTTAGGAGCAGCAGGGGATAAAAGGCACCCAGCTCAGCCTTCATCCAAAGACGCAGCTGGCGCTGGAGGATGATCGAGATGTACAGTCGCACAGCAAACTGAAACGCCTGATAGAGCACAGAAGGATTGGCTGTTGGGGGGTTTCCATGCTAATGCTGTAGTTTTATTGTCGAAATCGCTGTTCCTTCAGCATATTAGCTTTGAGCTTGAGCCATGCTCACCATTGAAGGCACCACGATTCCAGCAGAACAAATTGCAGCACTTGACGCCCTCACGGATTGTGCAACTTCCAATTCCAACTTGACGTAATGGTGGATCAAGTGCCATTCTTGTTGCCGTGCATTTGCTGCACATGGCACAGTGTAGCCACCAGTCAAGTTGGTGAGAACAGGTGCACATAAATGTGGAGGGTTGGCTCTCTTTGTGCTAGTTGGTGAAGCGGTCATGTGATCAAGTGATGGTCGACAGGGATGGAGCAACTAAAGCCAGGGAGAGAGAGAAACAGGCTTTTTTGCTCATGGAGCGCAGCTAAAGGGCCTGATATACGGCCAACGGCACATACCACAACACGCTAGGAAATGCGCAGGAGGCCTGCAGTCGACCTCTCCTGGTTGCTTGTAGGGCATCCTGTGAGCCCAGAATCATAATCTGTAGTGTCAATTTAGTTGTGCTACGCAGTACAGACATTCAGCAATCACTGAAGTCAGCAACAATGGCAGCATGTGGGCATCCCAACCAATAGAAATATGTACATTATCAGTAAATATCCCATTCTATATGCAATAGCAATACAGACCGATCTAGTTACACCTGTCAGCATCTATTCTTATCGCCAACTTCACACACTGCTGACCACATGCGAATTCCCGTTCTACAGCAAGGAGGTCAAAAAGTGCCTTCCAAGCTAACAACTAAAGGTGAGCCTGGGACTGCAAGAGACCCACACCGACTTTGTCCATGGGTTGAGTGGGCAGTGCTTGGTTGTGCTGTTGTCGAAAGCATTTGTGACGACACAGAGACACGACACCCTCTTTTGAGAGAGGCATGTGTTGGAGATGTGCACTTGGGTCCACAGCATACTATGGTAAAAGCGAACCCAAAAGTGCACCGACACAGGTGACACCAAAGTGTGTTGTTGCAGCAGTCAATGAGGGAGCGACACTAGCCCCATACCTTGACCTCAGATGTGTTGCAGTTTCTGAGCAAAACCATGCAGAGAGGCCGCCGCAGGTGGTCACAGTAGTCAGGCCGCACGTTGTCCCACCTGTGGTTGGCATTTTCAAACACCTTTACAAGCAACTCCAGTGCAAGAACCTTCCCCTGACGAACAAAGCCCTCCGCAGGGCCGCTGACTGGAACCACTGAAGCCATCTGCCATGGGCAAGAAAAGAGTGAGAGAATGCCTGCCTGCTTTGAGCCTTTACTGCATTCATCAGGGTGTAAGGAGCTACCACACATCTTGGATATCTTCATCCAAGGCGATGTGGCCCACTTATTGATTCACAAATGTGATCCTAACTGAAAAGCAGAGGACGAAGAAAGGTCAAACAGCCAATCTCGGCTGTGTCGAATCATCAAGCAGGGCACTCAAAGTTCCTGACATAATGGTCCATGAATAAACTAACCTTGCAGAATGCCATCAACACTGTCAGGACATCCCTCTCAAGCACCGTCAGCTTGTCCCACCCCTTGGGCCGCCTTAAGGAACCCTGCATGTACTCACTCCTTGCAGAGTTGGCCATGGGCGACTCAGGAGCAGCCTCTGGCACACCCTGGGGCGCAAGGAGCTCAGGCGCGTCCCCACCCTCTGCTGGACCTGCCTCAGTTTCCCTGTGGTCAACGTCCTTCAGGGCTGCTTCCAGGCCCTGGATGTCCTGCTGCTCAGCCAGGTTCACAAGTTGGGCTGTCAGGCTCGTGGTACGTTCCATCTGCACCCCTGACCAACAGCAAGCACCAGAATGCATCAGCAACGCAGCTGTGAGCGCCTTGTGAGTCTAGCAGGCTTGAGGGCAGCGATGTGTTCTTTCTGACAGATTGTCACCAATCCTTCTGAATATCGGACTGCAACAGAGACCCCTGCCATCAGCACTGTTTCATTCTCATGTTCCCCACAAGGTCACAATCAATCACCTGACACAGCCTTTGGCTCGCTCCGCTCATCCACAGGCTGGTGCTGCTGGCTGGCATTATCATTGGTTTCATCGATGATGGGCAGCCTGGCCTTCTCAATCCCCACCACTGGGGACCTGGGGGATGCAGTCGGGGACGTGCCACTGGCAGGCTCAGCAAAGACAGTGCTTGCATCTGAGCCTTGTCCTCGCTGCAACAACGCAAATGCCATCGCTGGCTCAACGACGTTTCTCTACTCCCAATGCAGTGGGCATTTTGCAGACATGTGCTGACAGACTTAATACCACCAAACCAAGGTCGCTTATCACTGATGGTGGTGGTTGGGTGCTATGGTGTGTGTGGGTGGGCGTGGGTGGGCGTGGGTGGGGACTGGGTGTGTGAGTGCCCTGCAGTGAATATGGCCTCTTGTTCCTGTTTTGTGCCCTCCTCACAACCCATCATCCTCCAACAGAAATGCAACAGTGTTCTTGTGTTCATTTCCTCTAATTCTCTTGTGCAATTCATGCACTGCATAGGTTACTGAATATAAAATAGAGACAACACAAACACAGTGAGCTAGTATTCAATTAATGTTGCAAGCACTATGGTGATCAAACCTGCAAGCCAATCAGCTGGCAAAGCACTTTATGTACACCAGCACCTCAAAAAACTATTCTATCAGCCGGCTAGCCAGCGGCCTCCAGCAAAGGGTCTGCAGCCTTGATATTGAACATGTTATGAGTGATGCTGACATTAATGAGTCCGACGATCCACCCACCAGTTGATACTGTGTGACAGTAATCCGTTTCACTGTGGTATTCAGCATCTGCAGCAGCGCATTGCATGATGTCCTCTTCAAATTGGCATCCTCCACACCAACCGCCAGATTGAACACTGTTCTCACCTGCAAAAACAATCACTAGTTTCACTCATCGCCACTCTCAGGAGCATCCAGGTGCCCAACGCATCCCAAACAGCACAAAATGGCACTGTTGGACAGCAGATACAGTTTACTCTCAACGTGCACCAGCAAGGGTGAATAGCCGGGTTAGCAGCTGCAATTAGGAGTTGGCAATTGCACTGGCACACAGAGACACACACAACAACCATCACAATATTCGACTTACAGCCAGAGTCACAGGAAAGATGAGAGGCACGTGCTCCAACAGCGTGGAAATTTGTGTTGCTTGGCATTGAGCAGGGACAAGGCCACTATGGGAACAAGCCCTCACTAGTCCAAACAGCACCTGACGTTGCCTGCAGGGTGCAAGGACAATGAATGGTGACATGCCAACAAATTGGTCAATGTCAACAGCCGCACTTCAGCTGCTTTGCCTTCTTGACAAACACAACGAGTGCGGATTTAGATTCCTCGAGAACTTGTAACTAAAGCATAAGGGTAGCTCACCACCAGCAATAAACACTGCCCATGCGCCACAAAGTGCTCAGCTGTTGCGAATGTCAGCAGCGCCCTCACTACTGCCAGGTAGACTTGCTCGCTTGGCAATTCAGAGCATTTGATAACCATGGCCACGATCTGTCCCAAACAACAGTAACACTGAGCAGCCTCCCCCAGGCAATGGTGGACAAAGTTAGACTTTTTCTGATCGCTGCCTCTCCCTCTTGCAGCGAGAGTTAACTGGCAAGCAAATTCAAGCAGTGTAAACTTGCAACAAACATCATGCCACAACTGTAAATAATGCTTCAACAACATCTGTCAGGGAGCAGGGGCTACTGACACAATACTATCTGTCCGCAACTTCCGTGGAGTCTCTGCTGCTGGACAATCTTTTTGTCACTCTGTGTTCCACTGCGATGAATGAACCCTGCTGATGCTCTTTGCAGGGATGAGCTCGATCGTGCAACTAGAAAAACGAGCACTGGGACCATAGCAGGACACAATCAATGCCTAGGGCTCTCTGGAGACCAATAACAGCAACACTTCCGGAACAACTGCCTGTGGAAGCCAAGAGTGTCCAGCATCGCCTGCCAGGTGCAAAGGAAGCTGTCACATCAGATGAATGCCGTCCTTTGCGATTTATACTCAAATTCCAACCAACAAGGCCCCAGCACCACCGCTCTGTATGAAGCGACACAAAAGCTCTGCAAGCATCGGCTCAGCTCAGCACCATGGACTACCTCTGTTACAAGAGTACCATCATCCATATGGCCAGTTGGTGATGACTCGCCCTGCACCCAGGCGTAGGCCACCTGCGATTACAAAAGGGTAGCTTACTCACTGTGCTCAACACAAGAAATGTTTGCCAGTAGCCAGGCCTGAATCTGGCACCTGAAGTATGGGAAAGAAGGGTGCATCGGTGCATGCTGCCACATGCTGGCAAAGTGTGGATCCAGCAGTACCCTGCTCATCTGGTAAGGTGTCCCAGAGCAAAATACTGCCAACAGTCCAACATGGCACTGTTCAAGTGCTGAACATTAGCACCATAGCAACATTGCCACTGTCATGCTGTACAATATTGCAATTCACAGTTCTCCATGCTTGCATGTGCTTGCATTAAGCATAACCAATTCGTTGAGTAACGCATGGTTCAGTTCCAGACCTCTCAATATGTAGTTCGAAGTTCTTAGAGCATGTTCCATTTGGTTTAATGCTTCTTTGGCACAGAGACACTGCAGGCAAATACCCAGCCACAAAGTCCATGGCAACTCTGGAGTGCAACCACACAGACCAACCCATTAACACTTGTCACAGACCTGACTGCTAAGACAACACTGGACACAGGGCAAGAAAGCTTGACACCGTGCCAAAAAAAAACACAACAAGGAAGCAGCATGCTGTGGATGGGGGGTGGCATACCAGCTTGTGCACACACCCGAGGGCCGGTTCGACAATCCTGGGTATGGCGCATTTGCAGGCGAGCTTCAAAGGCTCAAGCACCTGGAAACAGAGATGAGTGGCATAAAAAAGTGTAGAAGGAGACCATAAAGATATGGGGTGAACGCAAAGAGAGATGGGCAGCACTGAAGATGGCACAAAGAGAATGTAGAAGAAGACAAAGGAGACCATAACAAGCGCGTCGTTTCTGCAAGAGATGCTATAAGGCCAGAAGAGTGGCAGCTGAAAGCATTTTATGAATGCTCAGCTTGTGCAAGCCAGCTGTTAGAAGTGACTTCCTGCATTCTAAAGCCGGAACATGTCTTTATAATCCTCAAAGAGCAGCACACCGATTGTTGTGCCCAAATCAACACCAACAGTTGCACAATGCCTGTCCACTACATGGGAGAGCACTGTGAGTGCTGAAGGAAGAATGCTACGGCCCCTGATGGAACTTCCACAGAACTTGAGGCCTCATTCAGGCCGCACAACAGCTCTCCTGGGTGAAAGAAAGCCCAAAACCATATCCGTACAACATCGCACAACATTCCATGGGTCTCACTACCACTCAGCTCCACAATCACTTGCACAAACTACACACATGTTCATTCTTCATCACCAACCACACTGCTGCTGCCACAATGTCCTCCCCTCCCCATGCAAGCACAGCCATATTCTGGAAATGGGAATGGGCTACCACTTGTACACAGCCAGAAGACAGTGCACAGTATTCTTGATCCAACCTGCAGGTGGTGCATTGCAGAAAGACCCATTGGAGAACTCAACTGAGGAATTTGTGACAATCTGCAAGCAATAATTAGGAAATGGTTCACAACTGCAACTGATCCATAAGCTCTTCCAGCGCACTATTCGATAATTCTCCCGATCAGAAGGGCAATCACATGCCAAAAACGCATTATTCCACTCCCTGGTAGGCCCCCAATGTTGCACCAATGGCCTGAGCTCTATGCCGAGCTCGTGCAACCATTTCACCAGAATTTGTCTGAATCTTTATCATTCTGTGCATTCTCAAAAGCACAACAGCACCTGCCACAACTCCTGGCACAAACAGCTGCTTGATTCCATCTCATTCTCGCTGGATTTCTGCCAACTGTTGCTGGAGCTGGGATCGCATTCAGCTCCTGTGCTCAATATATCCAGCTCCAAACCCTTGGTTTGCAATGGGAATGTGAGGCAAGCACAAGTGACACCCAGCAACCGCACAAACAGCCACAAACCCACATCACATCACAGACCACAGCTGAGTTTGAAAGCACAGGAAGGAAGCTGCAGGTCTGTTGTGTGTGACAAGCCGCAGCAGTCACCATGCCAGGGAATGGGCACACACCACTCCACTCTATTTAGGAGACTGATTCAGATATTCTGGAGATGCTGGATTTTGTGTTCTCTGCCTTCTTTCTTGTCGCGTCAGCTTGCTCGATGCCGTTGGCCAAGCGCGTTGAGGATGCTGAGCAGCCTACCCTGTTGCCCAAGGTGGGTGTGCCACCATGAGGGCTTTAGAAAACAAAGTGTACGATTTTGCCACTGAACGATGTCAGAGATATGTGCGCCCTGTGAAGCTTGCACTGTGCTTACGTGCATTGGCAATCCGGCTGCACCAACACAACAAAGCACTCCGCACATAGCGTCTCCGGCCCGTCACATCCCAACGGAAACCCTTCGACCAGCTGTAACCACCAAGCGCCTCCTTGGCTGCGATTCAAAATGCCTCCCCGATGACGCAGTCATCAGCGCACGAGCAAAGAGGCAGCGTTCGCCCTGCGCCGACCGTCGCAGCACTGATGGGCTCAATCGCCGGGCACCTGCAGCCTCTGCCCAAAGTGTGAGGACAGGCCGACCTTCCCCGCCGATCAAACTCATCTTTTCTGGACATGCGCAACCTCCCCTCCCGCGATTTTCGCGAATCGGGCCCTTGTCGGGTTCACACCTCCCCACCACCCAGCGACCCCACACAAAAGTGCCCTCACCGCCGCTGCGCTCGCGTCGTCGAACGGCACCGTCCATCCGCCCCCGTCCTCGCCGCCCTTCTCCAGCCGCTCTGTACACACGCCACAAGAGACCCCGAGTCTTGTCATCTCCCCCACTTCAGCCCCCCCGCTCCCCATTCTAGTCACAAGTCAGCACACATGCGCCCTTTTCCCCCGTTTTTTTCGCAGAGATCGCAGCCGTTCCCAGCCGGAGCAGCCGCAGGATCGGCCCACAGCGCGACGGCCCACCGACGCGATCAGCAGCGCGAAACTTCACGCAAGCCCCCGGCCCCAGAGACAGCCCCATTGGAGCGCCACGCCGCCCATCCCCACCGAGGAACGACGCGCAGGACGCCCGGATCTCCGTGACCTCCTTGCCGCGGCCCCACGCCTCGCGCTGGATCCTCATGATCGCGTTCTTCACGAAAACTTCGAAGGTGATCTCGTTGTTGGACCGGCCGCCCGGCGCTGCCGCGGCGAACGCGCTGGGCCCCGGCGCCGGTGGCCCCTCGCCATCGCCACCGGGGGGCTGGCCGGGGTCCCCGTCCGGCGATGCGGCCATGCCAAGAAGAGCTGCGAGATGTGATGGGAAGGGGGCCCGGCGGTGGTGTTTTGCGTTGTCGCCCTTGTTCGTCGGTTGGACGTGCGCAGAGGCCGGGCACGCCCCTGCGCGGACCGTGTTGCTGTTGCACTGCGGTTGCTCTGTGTGGGGTTTAGTGGGTCGGTTGGGGCCGAACGGAACTTGGCAGAAACTGACCTAGATTTAGCTTTAAAGGGGGCGCTGGAGGGAGGAGATGGGTCGGGGGGGAGAGGGGGCATAAAATTACTGTCTACACCAAATCGGTGACTTCTTGCACCAAGTCACGTGCACATCATGTCCAACTCCGTCAAAACTAACCTAACCTAAAACCTAAACCCTAAAACTTAAAACCTAAACCTAAACCTGTCCTAACCCTAGAACTCACCCTGAAACTAAACCTAACCCTAAAATTGAGGTTAGGACAAAGTGTGCACGTGACTTGGTGCAAGCAGTCACCGATTTGGTGCAGGCAGTAATATTATTTCGGGGGGAGAGCGCGTGAAGGCTGACAGGCTGCGCATTGGGATTCTCCTTGCCAATGATCCTGCATGCATCCTGGCATGCGTTTGCATGATTTGAAAGAAGTTTACGTCACAGAGGCGCGATGGGTGAGACAGTGGAAGGCGGCTATTAGTTGCCGTAGTCCGTGTGCCGCGGCTGGTCAAAAGCGGGGAATAAGACGTCTTTTTGAAAACCCGCTCGAAAAGGAGGCGGGCGGCCTCGGAGGACGGCTGGGAGCACACAGTGTGCACCAGCAAGGGCATGGCATCCGGCCACGATCTGTCCAATTCATGCAAATGTTTCGTAAGCAGCGCATTCAGCCATTTGTATGGGTTGCCAGAATTGTGCAATTTTGGCCAGCATTTCTGTGGTGCTTTTGCCGTTGCCGTGCCAAAGCGCATCTCAAACACCACCTCAACTACTGATGACGCTGCCGTGAGATGCAATTCCCACTCTTTTTCGTTGTCCTCAAAATTTGTCGAGCCTTGGTGCAGTGCTTTGGCTTTTTTCAGTCAGCACTAATGCTCCATTGACCCAGCAACGCAATCGGTGTTCCATGCCTGGCGTACATACCCAAAGTACCGTTTGCAGTGTTCAGAACGCCTTTTTCCTCGTTTTTCAACGCAAACAGCGTCGTGTCATTTACACCAAGCCCTGCCCAGAGCGCTCCCATGCGCATACCGCGGGATGGAGCCGACGTCGGGCTCCCTGGAGCGCACCCTGCTGGGCCCGGGGGGCAAGTGGCCGGCCGGCCTGGGCCCCCAGGTCCCCTTCTCCCACCTGCGGGTGCGCCGCTGTCTGCGCTGCGGTGCCTTCGGTGTGGTCTACCGCGCGCTGCTGGAAGGGCGGCCCGTCGCACTCAAGCTGCTGCTGTCGGAGGAGGGCGTGCCCACGGAGCTGTTCATTCAGGAGGCCGCAGTACTTGCAGCACTCGACCACAGGTGCGTCCCCTTCCCCCCTCCCCCTTGTTTCAAGCCTGTTGCGAGTTGTGGGCGGCGCCATCGAGAGTGCTCTGGCGCCCAAGGCGCTGTGAGCTTCTGCGGGTACGGACGGAAAAGGCCGCAGTACCTGCAGCACTCGACCAACGGTGCGCCCCCCCCCGCCCTCCCACCACCACCACCATGTTGCGCAGTTGGGCGTCATCATCGAGCGTGTTCTGGCACTCATGGCGCCGTCAGCCTTTGGCCGGGATGGGCGGAAAAGAGTGTGGGGACGGTGCCGGGTGGTTTGGATTGACTCGGCGGACGTCGGCGGGGGGTAGGTTCTGCAGGGGTGCGGTACCCGGCTGCGGCGGTCGGCGCGGGGCGGCCTCGCCGTTGATCCGCGAGGTTCCGCGAGACTCTGGGGACGCGGGACGGGCAGTGGACTCGCTGGTGGGTGGTCGCTGTCGGAAAGGGCGTGCGGGGAGACGGGGGCAGCTATCCGGACCTCGCCGATGCGAGCCCGATGCGAGCCCTCGATTGCGCCACCATCTGCGCCGACTGCAGGCACCGCGATCGTGCAAGTCGGCCGCCCCCGCCGTAGGAGCAGCTCGATCGTCCCCGCGCGCGGGGGCCCAGCCATCAGCCGCCTTTGCTGCGCGCGAAAAAATTCTCGAGGTTGGACCCGCATACGCGGCGCCACGCTCGCGGACTTCTCGGCGGAGGCATCCCATACGACAAGATCGGTTCCCGGATGCGCCTGCGAGCGCCTCCCAATGCGGGTCGAGGCGCAAAGTCGCGCCGGGAAGGCCATCTTGAGCCTCGCGCCGTAGCGTCCAGCTGTTCGCGTGGCGCCGGGGACCCTGAGCCTGTCGGTGCCTTCGATGGCTGAGTGCTGGGAGGTCCGGCCCAGCCGGTGCCGGGTGAGGCAGGATCAAAGGATCATGGGCAGCAGGACCGCATCAAACAGTGCCCAGAGGGGTGGGGGCGCGAGCGTTGGCCGGAAGTTGGGGGGGAGATGTACGGCGCGGCTGACGCCACCCGCGCATAGTTCTCATCTAGTTCGGGGGAAGAACGGAGGCCACGAATATGCACTGTACGGATTGTTGCGCGAGTCCCGAAGCGGTGGTGAAGCGGTGCACGTGCCTGTGAGGTGGCCGGCGGCGGGCGTCGCGGGGTTGCTCGTACGGCCCACGTGGTTCTTGAGATGCTGTCGTCATTTTCCCGCTGAAGTTGGCGTATTCTTTCCATTTTGGCGCACCCTGAACCCCTAAGCTAAACTGGTGGGAAGGGTGCAGTATCAGGAAGGGAGTAAACTGCGGCGCTAGTGCAGAGTTGTCGCCCGGCGTGCGCTCTGAGCAAGGGGTGCACCACACCTGCACCGACAGGGCTTTACGTGAAGAATTGCGTTACGATGATCACGGTCTGACGTGCTGAAGTTCAAGTACCAACTACTTCTGATCGCTTCACGTTGTGCCTAGTATTGGTGGTGACAAACAAACGTATTGGCACCATTCTTCTGTGTGATCTGATGTTCGTCAATGTCTGCAAGGTGAGCAGGCCTTGTTTTGTCGTTTTTGGTCGATTTTGGTCAATGGAATCCATTGATATTGATGATGTAGATTGGTGTTGATGTACAGGTAAAAGCACGTACTGAAATAGTCTACTGGTGACAATAACAATCGATGGAATTCCCTGGAATTCCGTCATCAGTGGGGACATTTAGTAAGGCTGTTGCAGCTGTTGGAGCACTATCTTCCGTCCTTCTTTGCTGGACTTTTGTAAGGGTAAATTGTAACATGCATCAAACAAGGAAAGGAAGACATGACGCACACATGAAACCTACAGCATGGGCAAGGAGAAGCTAGGTAACATATGAGTCTGATTGTGCATGTTGTTGTTGCTTACGACTGCTTGCATGCGGCATCCACTCTGAAAGGATTTATCTCCTAAGCATGCCAGTAGATCTCCAACAAGTCCACAAACTCAAAAGCACCCTTTGAGCGCGACCAACGCTGTCCACCTGAATCCAGGTGTGTGTGTGTGGACGTCGCAGGAGCATAGTCAGACTTGTTGGCTTGACGGTTGTGCCGGCCGGAGCACAGGGAATACCTGAAGCTTCTTCAGTTCCCAGGCTGGCAATTGTTGAGGATTTCTTTGAGGTGAGCATGGCACAATTCCTGCATATTGTAGCGATTCAGGTGCCCATAGCATAGCATATTGCAAGGTGTTCCCTTCACATCCAGCCTTCCATTGATCATCTTTATAGAAGATTGCATAGCAGTCACACATTTGGAGAAGCAAGTCTTCTGGAGATGTATTCCATCCTTGATGTTCAATGTCATTGTGAACATCGGGTATGGCATCCGTCCCGTCATTTCTTGGAAGTCGCAAGTGCACTTTCATGTTTGAAAGATAGAACAATTGGATTGACAATGCCAGCACCAGGTGCTGAGATCAGACGCAGTTCTTTTGTCACCTACATTGCTTTCTTTTGTCACGATACTATTGGCTGGGAAAGCCTGGGACAGGGCATAATTTTTCTGCAGGATCATTACTTCATGACAGTGTAGCTAATCAACCATAATACCACCTGTCCATCCCTCCCCGTTCAGAGATATAGTTGCTGTCCAAGGTACAGAATTGCTGTGGGCACGTTGTGTGGATTGGCAAGACTACCACATGCTCTTCTTCCACCCCTGAATGGTGTTGGGTGAATTCTTCCGTCGCTCCATTGAAAACCTCTCAGTTCACACTTTTCAGCAGCACAACTTTCACAGTTGATTCCCATGTGCCTTGTATTCTGAGAGAAATAGCAAATCTGTCTGAACGTGATGTGCACAGTGCACCACAGAGTCCCGCAGTGGTGATGCACTTAGAATTTTTCAGGATGTCTGATGAAATTTGAAACCCGCAAAATCGAAACTCAGAAAACTGGCTTTAGGCACTCTGCCAATGCAGAAGAAGTCTCTTGGCGAATAATGTGAACACGTTTCGCCCTCCTGGCTTTTTTGCATGAGTAAACTTGTATCACATTCCCTTGTTCAGATTCTGTTGCCAATGTTCCGATTGTGATCCTTTTGTGCTGTGCTCACTCATAAGAGCAGCGGGGAAATCTGCAATCACTGATCCTGAATCAGATGGTGTCACCATTCACATTATATTCCATGGCGACGGCGTTGGACTTGATGATCGACATTGGCGAGGCGCTCGAGTATCTGCACAGTCGATGTCCCACCATCATCCATCGTGACGTCACTCCTGGGAACATCCTTCTGACCAAGGAGAACAAAAGACTGAAGGCCAAACTTTGCGATTTTGGGGTTGTTGCGGTGAGCCACAATTTTTAGTACCATTCTATGTATTGCAGGTCCATCACATCTTGCAATGTGCACGTTGTCAAGCAACAGTTGTTGACCAATTTTGGCCATCTTTTGCCAGTACCTTCAGCCAGTGTCCAATTCCCCCATGTACCTAGAACAGGAACATAATTGAGAATGGGAATGGGTTGGTGCTGTCATTTTCTTTCAAATTGCTGGAATACTGATCAGACTTCACAAGAACCTAACACTAACTGTCAGCATTTCTCTGTTTCATTTTGCAATCCTCCAATCTGTCTGGAGTCAGAAATTTCATATGGTGGGTATGGCCAGCATTGTCGCAGAACGGGATGAGGTTGTGAAAGGCGCAACTTTATCTACAGTGTGTCAATCAGCGATGCAGAAGTTGTAAAGGCAATGATGTGCTTGTCTGCACTGTGATGACTCATGGTGTCAAAAGCATGGAGCCTGTTTCAACCATGAACAAGAATTGTTCTTCAACGTGCAACTGTCAATCTGGTGCTGTGAGGGGCTGTCCACATTGTAGCAAGAAGCAGAGTTGCCTGAATGCTGCAAGTAGTACACACAACATCTTGAAAACTACAGGTGTTGCTTGAATGTTTGCGCACCAGCCAAGGGGCAGCTTGTGTCACTGAAGTGGACAGCTGTGACACTTATTGCATGGGCTCTGCTATCAGTGTATCTGCAAGCATTGTATTTTCCCTGTAATCTAGTCGCCCAGCATCGGTAACAGAAAAATCTCTGTGCACAGCTCATAGGAGAGGGCGGTGAGCGCATGGAAAGGATGCACACGGGGCTTCAAGGAGAGCTACCCAAGCGCTCGATTTCACGGGACCTATGTTCCACCATCTACCATGATGCCCCATCCACAGCGGACGTGGAAGTGCCGCAACCCGCTCCTTGTGGCCCCAGAAATGGACATGTGGTCTCGATTCCACCAGTGTGGGACATGACAGGTGTGAATGAATGCATCCTCAGGCAGAAAGCAAACTTCAGATACAAGTTTGGCCCACACGTTAATGCTCAGAAAGGCACGACCAACAACTGAACTGCTTGTGAACTGCTTATGAACTGCTTGTGGCTGGCATCGCGATTCACAGTATGCATGTGCAACAGCTGATACGCAGCTGGTGTTTGCTTTAAGCAGCAATACACAAGCGTGCCCAAAGTTGGACATACTAACGGATGTGGCGCTGAATGGAGTATGACGCATGCTTGCTAGTATTTGCATTGAAATATGGGGCCACTAAACGAAGTACGATACATATTTCATGCAGATTGTCGCATAGCGCAGCGATCTCCAAGGTTTGAAAGTCGATTTACTAGTGAAAGGCTCCCTGGCTGGATTTTTGTCTGATTTGGGACACGTTGCAATTTTCTGAATTTATTTCTTAGCTCTTTCATGTTTTTGCACCTTGTCTCAATTGGGGTCCCTTCCAATGACTTTGGCAGGGCACAATGTCCAAATTAGGGCCACGTAAATATTAAGGCTTCTTAGTTTTCCTAGCCAGCAGTTTCCAACCTAGTTCACACTCAAATCTTCAATTCGGACACACCAATACAAACTAGCGCTGGCATGGAGCCCCTGCCCCCGTTTTCTCAATCCCGTCCCCGCCTCAGGAGCAGCAGCTAGTGTGAGACCCTTTATGAGCGAACTGCCACTGGCAGAACCAGGGGTCTACAGGGCGTCTTCGCGCCAATATGCCTTGCTTTGTAAAACTGGGCAGTGAGGCCTGCAAAATGCCGATATTAATATCGTATAGCATGCCAATATTAATACCATATCACATGCAATATATATTGTTATATATAATATACTGCATGTGTCGACGGGGAGCAGTGCTTCACAAAGGCTACTGCTGAGCAACTTGACATTAGCGCTCAATTGCGACAACCCCACGCCTCCAACATTCTCGGGCTTCTGTTTGAGTAAAACACGGTTTCGGTGCGCAGGCGAGACGGGATCGTACTGCCACATGTCCCCAGAGAATTTCAGGAGCGAGCCGTACGGAGAAACGGCCGACACCTTCAGCTTCGGCATGGTGCTCTACGAGTTGTTTGCCAGGGATTTGGTGGCCTTCTCCGATGCGAACCCAGACTCGCCCTACTCGGCCAAAGAGTTCGCCTACCGGCTGTCCAAGGGATACCGGCCCTGCATGCCCTCGCACATGCATCCTGAGGTCGCGAGCGTCATTCTGAAGTGCTGGAAGGCGGAGCCCTACCTTCGGCCGCGAATGAGGGACGTCGTCGCTGAGCTGAAGGAAATTCGGGAGTCCGGGGTGCTCAGGAAGGAGAGGAGGCGCTGCTCACTGATGTGCTGCTGTTGATGGGGGTATGCGCCGCGATGTGCTTGGTCGATTTCATTGCTTTTGTGAATGCATGGCCAAACACTGGCCTTGCGCTTGCCGGGCAGCGGCGGGCGCAATCACGTAGACATTGTTTGTACGAAGGTCTTGGGGCTTGGCGGGATGGGGCGGTGGTGGGGTAGGACCATGGAGGCCGTTGACGATTTAGGTGCGTCGCTTGGTTCCCGTGATCATTTGCCGCTGGTAGGATAGGAGTTGCCATCTGGCAGGGAGTTTTGAGCCTCTGGCGTCGTTTTGATGTTAGTTTAGCCGGCGCACATGCAGAGCGCACATTGAGATTCGTGGTGGCCCTAAAACTGCCCCAATTTTGAGCAATAAACTACGTGCCCTGGGGCCCAATGAAATTCATATTTGTTGGCGCCTTTAGTTGCTCATTTGGTTGTTACCTCATTGCCTGATGAATAATCTTCTTGCAGAGCGATTGGTGGAGGACGTCGATGGTGTGTCTACGGGGTGTGTCTATGGCATTGCTAGTGCATCAATTGTGTACATATACTACATATCCGAAATGTTCTTACCCACTCGTGGCCGACTGCAGTCTCTAAATGAGCCAGCCTTTGAAATCCATAGCAATTCTTGCAGCGGGGCAGCACACCACGCAAAGCAACATCTGTCCAAAGCGACCCTTGTATCACACCCAACGCGTTTGGTCGTGTCTCCACGCCCTGCATTCTCTGCATGTTGGCCTGGTGGCAGCAAAACCAACTTGGCCAAGCGCCTTTGGTCGGTTGCTTTCAAGTTCCAGCAGACGCGCATTGCTGACCGCTTCAAAACAATCCCACACCCGAAAACATTGGAAAGGTTCTTGTAAGCTTCCAAACCTGAATTTCTTTTGCAATATTGCATTTAATGGAATTTCTTTTGCAATTGTGGCAAATTTGCCAAGATGCCCTCGATTCCGTGCCCATCTTCCAGATTCTCCCTCCTCCCAGATTTCTGTCCCTCACCCAGCCCCACCCCCTCGCCCACACTCCCCCCGCCGAGATGCCTCCAGTGGCGCCCTCCCGTCTGGCGCCTCTCCCATACGCCCACCCCCGCGTCCTCCACCCCCACCCCCCGATCCCCCGTTCCATCAAATCGCGCCGCACCGCCGATGGCCAGCCCACAATCGCCCCCCACCGATCGGCGACAGGCTGCCGATCCGTCAGGCCTCGAATGGATGCGCCCGTGGTGGCGTCGGCATCGGCGCCCGTGGAAAAATCTTATATTATGATCAAGCCGGACGGCGTGCAGCGGGGCCTGGTGGGGGAGGTGATCGGGCGGTTCGAGCGCAAGGGGTTCAAGCTGGTGGGGCTGAAGATGTTCCGCTGCCCGCGGCAGTTGGCGGAGGAGCACTATGGGGAGCTGAAGGACAGGCCGTTCTTCCCCAAGCTGGTGGATTACATAACGTCGGGACCGGTGGTGTGCATGGTGCGCGGTTTGGACGGCTTGGGCGTTGCGCCGAGTGCGGATTCATGAGTTTTGACTTATTTCCTGATGGCGAACCTTCTTTCGAGGGAGCGATTGCTACAAGACAGAATAACGAGGCGTAATCCCACATTGCCTCCACCTTGAAGGAGATTTCTTTCCAGGGAGACACGATGATCAGGGGCGTCAATCGCTGGCACTGGGCCTTGGGCGCTGCGCCGCGTCGGGATAACTGATCACTGGCGAAGGGCATCAATCGCTGTGGTCAGTCGCTGTGGGTGAAAGATGGGTGGGAGGCGGAAGTTTTCAGGGTTTGTTCGCGCTGCGCATTGATTGATCTCCGCAGGGAGGAGAAACGGATGTGATGGGAGCCCCAGCAGCGCTCTCCCGCGCTGGAAGGCGTTGATTTCTTCCCCGGGGGGGTAGAAGCATCAGCGGACAGTTCGCGCGGCCTGCGCGAGATCAAGTACCCTTCTCCTGTGGCTGTTGCTGACAGAAGAGAGAGGCCGCGCATTAAACGTCCCATCGTATGCTCCACGCGCTGGTCTGTGTTGTGTGCTTTCTTTTTGCCCGGGGAGATTTCGCATCGTCTCTCACTGCATGAAAAGGAGTCTTACAAACACTCTTGCACGGGATTGAGGTGTCCTCTTTGTAGCATATTTTGCTTTGCCTGGGAAAAGCTCCTGGAATGGATTCCCCATACCAAGCAAAATGTCTGAGAGGGGGCCAACATTCAAGACTCCATTCCGCACAGGAAGGCAAAGATTGATTTTTCTGAGTACACTAGTAAAGTCGAGCAGCAGAACTGGATGGTTGTGAAGGTGCCCCGATGGGTCCCAAGGCGGGTTTGGATGAGCAAGTGTGTGGTCGCAGGTATGGGAAGGTGACGGTGTTGTGGCATCGGCACGGAAGCTCATAGGGAAAACAGACCCCTTGGAGGCGGATCCGGGCACGATCCGTGGTGACCTTGGTCTACACAAGGGCAGGAATGTGGTGCATGGGAGCGACAGCCCTGAAAACGGCCTCAGGGAGACGGGTGAGGAGGAATTGATCACCGAAGGAATGAATGTGTCTGTGACGGCAAACCCGTTGCGTCTGTTCAGTCAGTCAGTACAATCTCCAGGCTCAGGCAGCTGGCATGCCAAGTGGAGGCTGCAAAATGAATACCAATCCATTCTGGTGTACGCATTGTCCTGGGAGCCAAACATTTACCACTCCCTTTCACCAGATGGAATGTTTGGCTGATGTGAACGTTGCTGACACTCTCTGGAATGCAACCAGGGAGCCCACTGCCCATGCCATACAACATCCATTCAAAATCATCGCAGAGCACTGTGCCCAAGTCGAGCACATCTGTCATGTACCGTGCATCACGAACTGTGATAGATGTTCATTCCAAACCTTGGCAGGCATCCCCCCACAGAGAACAGAGAGCTGTAATCACCAAGGGCTGGTCCTGCAGGCACAGATGAATTGCAAACTAACCATGCCCCATGCGCTGATTGCTTATTCCATTCAGCATTTTGCATTCACAACTTCCAAGAGCTCTTCTTCTTTTCCCTGAGGTACTGCAGGATATAAAACACCCTGGTACGATGGTTTGGCTCATCTGAAGGGCAATGAGGTCCTTGTTAGGCTTTCATGTTGCCGATGAGCGAAGAGTAAGCTTGTGGTCCTTTTTCCTCATTGTCAAGTGCTGCTAACTGCAGCAAGGGGTGGACACTCTTCCCCTTATTGTATTGTGCGCTCCCTTGAGGTGCATATGCAGGGATGAACTCCATTCCTTCCAAAGGTTGCCTGCCCAGCTGCATTTTGCTGTTGGGACATCTGAGCGTCAGACAGCTGGATGTCAGCAACATCTTGAATGGCGGCCATGTTGTCTGTGGATGAAAGTCGTACTGCACGCAACACAGTGTGCAGTAGGACTGCCTTCCACAGATCGCATGGCTGTAATAAATGTTGGCGAATTATGTGGAAGCCTGATGGGCAAGAAATGTGCAGAATGTGCAGGCTGGGAAGTTTGTCTGGGGATCGCTGCACCGACGGTTTGGATGGAATCTTTGTTTGATGCCTTTTCGATCACATTCGCTTCCCCTGTGTAACTCCATGCCCATGAACCGAGAAAGCGACGGTGGCCACTGACACGTCCAAAATGTTTGGTGCGCAGCCCTGTGGTTTTCGTCCGATGAACTTCAAGATTGGGAGCAGACAATGGAGCCGTGGCTTCTGGAGTAGAGCCAGGTTGCTGCAACAGGTGGCCATCAGGCCACACGTCGCACACGCGTATGTGCCTGCTGTAGCAAGCACTCCCAAGCGACGATTTGCTCCCAGTGCAGAAACCCCTAGACAAGTTTCCCACAGCATTTGTTTCGGAGCTTGTCCAACGCCGGGTGTTCTATCTCAATGATGCATTGTGATTCCCAGGTTGCCATCCCCAGAGCTCATGACGCGAACCCCCAAGATGACTTGCGAATCCCAAGTCGTCCTGACTGCATCCAAGTGGACTTGGCCACCAGAGACATTGGCCTAGATAATGTGCGAAATGCAGTGTAATGAAACGCAATTTGTTTGTATTTTGCTGTGTTGAGCCAAAGCTTGCCAGTGGTGGCTATCTTCGGGATGGCAACTATCCGGATCACTACCCTTATCTTTGTCTGTCTCATGTCGGCGATCCCTCTTTCCTCCTTTATGTATTTCGCTCCACTGATATGTCATCGGGAGGAGACAACTGTGGTACATATTCGGGCGCCTTCTCAGCGGCTCCTTGTTATTGTATACTGCTGCAGTGATCATATCGTAAGGGACAGATCACCTGTCGCAGTGAGGCGCAGCCCCATGCAATTTATCGATCCAAACATGTGCATCGCAGAACACAATGTACGCCACGCAACGCGATGCCAAGGCTTAACCAGCACGAACCCACGGAGCGATCCACACGCTAACAGATTGCTTCTGGTTTCAAGTACCTTGACCTACCGAGGCCATGGACCCATGATTGCATCCAACGGCTTGGCTGCACCGCCGTAGATCTTCTGCCAGCAGGAGATCTGCTAAAGCGGGCCTGCTGTCGCAGTGTGATCGGCACTGCTCAATCACTTTTTGGTTGAATGCAAGCCCCAACGACCCTTGCTGGCAAAGCATCACCATGCATAGAGTGCATGTCAGTTCATTGGTCTATTTCCATCCAACGATGCCCTCTGGATGTAAGTGCCTTACCAACGCATGTGGCCACTGACGCGTCAAGATATCTTTGTTGAACCGTAGCTGCAAGCTCTCACCAAGCAAAGTCCATCTAGGGCGTCCATCAGTTGTGATGTTTGCAAATCAAGGTCTGATGCAGATGTTACTGGGCTTCCATGCGCTTGCAAGGTGCTGGGAAGCGCGCGTTATGCACATTTCCAATGCGCTCCTAGACATTGTGTTTGACGGAGGTACCTGTGCTTTTGTAACTCTACCACTAAAGCATCCCAGGCTGCCCATTTCACCCATGATAATTTCGGCCCGGGCCAACTATCATCAACAATGAAATCCCTGAATTCTTCGAATTCCAGCATTATCTCTCCCCACCCAAGCCCCACCACAACCACCACCCGTCTTCGCATCATTTCTCACTTTTCTTCGCCTCCTCAGCCACTTTAGCAAGCGATGCAGCTGTTTTGCGGACAACTAAAAAGCTCCCATGAACCATGCAGCATTCCTGTGCCATATTCTCAATACATTCGCGCTTCCTTTATGCGACTGCCCTGGTGGGTTTTCCAGCCACCCCCAGCAGTGAACTGCGTATTCTGTGTTCCGTCAACCATGAGTGATTTGCAGTGTCGCCTTCATTGTCCAGGTAAATCGTAAGCCGCCCCAATTGAGGTCACCCAACATTAATGTGAATTGCATAATGCAACCAAATATACTGGCAGCGAGCAATTGGCCCCAGAAACCCTGGAGAGTGGGCTACCTGTGAGCATGTGATTATTCGTCAGTGAACATATTGTCCATTGGGCGCTAGAGAGTGTCTCAGTTGTCCTAATGGGTTGACTAACTCTCAAAGAGCGTGACATATTTGTGGGGCCATCGTTCCGCGTGCTTTCTATCGTCGGGCAGCTCTTTGCCCCACTTTTGGAACTTGAATGTCCCACGCTTGAGCACAAGCCCTGCGGCCTGTGGATGCATGCACCCAAGTGCCGGTGCAAGATGCCAGAAGAGCATGTCAATGACAGACAACTACCTGGAACCTCGGTCCTCCTTCGCCTTGTAGAAACAGGATGACTATCCATTTCGGCGAGAATGAATGGGGGTCACTGCCACAAACAGGACATTTTTATTGGCCGAAACTCATGCGTGTTGATGCTGTTGTTGTTCCCCGAATTCCAGGGAATTTCAAAGCTGAGCAGCTGAGTGTCTTTGTCGAATCCCTATCCAACTTCAATTTCTCCAGTGTGTCCATGACCTGGAATCCCCCTTCCAAAATTGGCACTGAGCAATGAACAAGAAGCACCTGAACTAAATATTATTTAAGTATTAAGCATTAAACTATAGACAGTATCACACATGGCTTCAGGCACTTTGTCCATCTGACAACAAAACCAGCGGACTGAGGGCGCCGCTGCCGCGGCGCCCCGTGTTAATTCTGTACAGCTTCTCGACTCACCCTTTCCTGTCGAATGAGCGATCCAACGGCCCCTCCTCTTCTTGGAGTGCAACGATTGTTTGTCTACTTAAAAAGATCAAAAATGCATAAAGATTTTCTTGAATTACAGAAAAGCGAAGGAACAGGCGCAGGCCCAAAACGGCGCCAAAAAAGGGTGGCAGAAACTACACCCACCGGCACAAATTTCAACACAGCTCACGCCGCCAATACAAAAATTTCAGCACATCAACCGACGCACCACACCCCGACCCATATCGTCCCAAATGTCCAATTTCCGCGCCGGCCACACGGGACACAAAACAGGCGCTCGGCCGCTGCCTACAGGCTCAAACTCACCATTAAGCTGCCGTCCCTCTTCACCCCCCCCACACACACACACCAAAGGCGCGTCCGCAATGAGCGGCTACGCCTACGAGGCCTCCGCGGCGCCGGCCGTGCCCACCAACCCCTACGAGGTCCCCTACGGCTACGACCCCGCCTCGGGCTACGGCCCCCCAGGCGCGTGCGACGCGTCGGCCTACGCCTCGCAGGGCGACGAGATCCGCACCATATTCCTCACGGGCTTCCCGGACGACGTCAAGGAGCGGGAGCTGAACAACATGCTGCGGTTCCTGCCCGGATACCAGGTGGGCCTGCCGGTATCTGTCCATCGGCTGCCGGCTTGATCTGAGGTGGTGGATCGATCGGTGGCGAAGGGCGCTGGCGATTGATTCGCGCTGCGTGGATGTGTGCCGTGCGCCGCAGGCGTCGCAGATGAACTGGAAGAACGGCCAGGTGAGCCACCGTGGCGGGTGGGGGCTGGTCGGGAGATGCTTTGGCGCCTGGCTGCGGGTGCGCGCCGGTTTGCGGTGATCGGAGGCTGGCCTGACGGCTGGGCGGGTATGCGTCGGTGGATGATCGCAGGCCCAGGGCTTCGCGCTGTTCTCTCACCCCCAGGCGGCACGGGCGGCCGTCACGGCGATCCACTCCCTCTGGTAGGCCCAGCCGCGAGGGAGGGGCGTGGGGGGAGTGCCTGTGCCTGTGCGTGTGTGGAACAAGTTGTTGGTGCGGGTGCTTGCGGCGGGCCTTCTCTCGGAGAGAGGGGGGGAGGGGGGGTCCCGCGGGACCAGGGCTGGAGCCCCAGTACTGGGCAAGCTTCGGCCCTTTTGGCCGGCCAGCCTCTGTGTCTGCCTCCGTGCGTGCGTGGGGCCGAAAAAGGTGGGGGCCACCGACCACCTTTTTGTGGCGCGGGCAGCTTCGACGAAAGCAGCGTGCTGCGGGGGGAAATGGCGCGGAAGAACATGTACCTGAGGGAGGACGCGTCAGCCAAGCGCCAGCGGCTGGCGGCGCCCACAACGGCGGAGGTGGCGCCCGTGACCCCACAGGCCTACGCGCCGGTGACAAACAACCGCGACAACCCGCCCTGCAACACGCTCTTCATCGGCAACCTCAGCGACTCCGTCAGTAAGGGGGAGCTGGAGGGGCTGTTTGCCCACCAGGCGGTGCGCGGCGCTTTTCCCCTTTTGGCACTTTTGGGTTTTTGAGGAACCTTTTCCGGTGTGGGGGTTGGGAGTGACCTGCTCGGGAGGGGAGGGGGGAGGGAGGGCTGGGTTGACTGTGCGGCGGCCGGATTGGCCGCAGGCGCGGCGGAATGACGGTGGGATGCGGCGGTGTGCGATCGGGCGGGCGGCGCGCTTTCCGAGTCGGAGGTTCTGCTTTTCGCGGCTTTTGGCCGGGCGGGAAATTGGCGGCGGCGGCCCTTGGGCCGCCAGGGGCGGTGGCTCCGTCCGCCGCCTGGCGATTTGACCCTTTGGCAGGGCGCCTGGAGGCCTGGGGGCGGTTGCCAATTTAGGGCAGGTCGGCTTATGTGGTGCCGCGGAGTGGGGTGGCGGCGGCTGGGCGCCCGTTGACCCGAGTCAGCCTCCCCAGGCGGCGCGGAGAGCTGGCTTTTCCCAGCTGGATTTCACCTGCGGTTTCCCTTCCCTTGTGTCTAGAGCGGGAGCTGCTCAGCTGGCGTGGGTTTGGTGGGTTCTTGAGGGCCAGCGGGGGCTGGCCCTTTGGGGATGCAGGGAGCCGTGGGGTGCCCCTGCGGGGCAGGCTGGGTGTGGCGCTGGGAAATGGCCGGAGGCGAGATTGTTGGACGGGGCTATCCTTTCGGATTTGGCATGGTGATGTGGGGTGCCGTCGGTGCTGTGGAGTGGCGTCGGTCGTTTGACCGCGCCGGCGGCGGTTGACCGCATTCAGCGGCGGCTCGAGGAGCTCCTGAATTGTTCCAAGGCCGCCTTCCGGGCATCCAGTGGGAGCCCACCGGGGGGGTGGGGGGGTGGGGGGGTGGGGTAGGACCCACTGGCACAGGTTTCAGAGGACTCTAAAATCCGTGCCATGTGTCGTTGGGGCGGATTTCTGTCCCAACGAATTTGAACTCAAGTTGCCCCCTCCCCACAAGCACCCTTTCTTGCCTTTCCCAGCCTTCCTGGCCTGAGTGCAGGTGGGTGTCACTGTGGCAGCAACAGTGTGTTGCGACCTTGGCAGCACGGCCTACGGTGCCAACCGAGGCAGCGGCGCTTGTGCTCAGTGCTGCACTACTTCGTGAGGATTGCGCCAAATTTGGTGACGGTGTTCACTGTGACAAATTTGGTGTCAGGGATTCAGGCAGATGAAGCTCGTGCGGGCACCCAGGTGCATTAATTGCTTCGTGGAGTTCACAGACCTCGCCTCAGCCATGGCAGTGCACCACTCCTTGCAGGTGAGCGCAAAAGACACGGAACAACCTGGAAAAGGAACACCCCGCTACTGTCCAAATTATCACAGATTGCCCACCACTACTTGAGCGCGAAAGAAACAGTACGCCACTGTGCTGCTGCTGTGTGCTGCCAATCACTCCGCTACCCGAAAGCCTGTTTGTCCGGTGTCGAAGCCAAGTGCGCAACACGTCCCCAAGTCGCATTCCATTCCCCCCCCGATCTTTTCATCAAGAGGTCCGTGCGTGTCAGTCTACCTTGGGAACAAAGGCATCCCAGCGGCAGCAACCAGCAAGAGCGGCACACAACCGCCTCATCCAAACTGCATACCGAGTGAGTTGGTCCAAGTCCTGCTGTGCATCTGTCCGTTGGACACATTTCCACGTGCCCAACATGTTGGCCTGTTTTCGCAGTGTGACTGCTTGAAGTTGTGAACTGTCGCTCCAGCAACCCACGTATCTGAAAGGGGCTGCTGTTTTCGGACTGTCAGGGCGCCATCCTGCAGAGCTCGGACAGGGGCGGCATCCGCATCCAGTACTCAAAGAACCCATTTGGAAAGAAACGGGACGCCTCGGGCAACCTGGTGGACCTCCGGAACCACGTGGCCAGCCAGCTGGCGGAGCTAGACGCCGCCACCAACTCTGCGGGCGTCACTGTGACGGACTTCATCAACAACTGCGCCACGAACAACAACGGCGCCAGTGCTGCCACTGCTGCTGCAGACCCCGGCAGCCACAGCACCAACGGTGAGACTCTCCAGCAGCCTGTGCACGTGGACTGCATTTATCCTGTCCATTTTACGCATTTGGTGTCTGTGTCACTATTGCTCACAGTCCAGGTGTATCTGGCTGAGTTGAATGATACGTTGGCATACTGGATTTGACTGAGTTGGCCCAAAGTCGTACAACGACAGCGCGCCGCTTGTCAAAAACAGGATCGAGCGTGGCCGTGTGTTTTGACCATTTTTCTTGCCAAAGGAAAATGAACTGCCATTGCTTTGAGTTGTGATAAAGTACAGCACGCATTTTTGCCCCTACAGTGCGGCACTGTGGCGCATTTGCATCACTGTTGCGACATGATGATGCCTCTTGGGTTTCCCAAGGCGTGTCACGCAACATAAGACCCTGCCATGTAGGAGTCATTTCATAATGACCACAAACCCTTCCGCTCTGAACAGGCGCCGATGCCCAAAACGAAGCTGCCACCACGTGAAGGCGGCCGCCTCCCTTGTAGGTAAGCCAGCCAGCATCCAGGAACATTCCAGAACAAAACAAAAGGAAAGAGAACATATGGAATCGCACAATCTGACGACTGCTGAACTTCCCCACTGACAGCCACTTGAGCTGCCTGTCCTGAACAATGCATGCAAGAAATAACTCAGGTTCATTTGGGGTGCAAGAAACTTGCTTGTTCACCATGCTTTGTCCCCCACCCCTGCACTCAGACACCAACCCAAACTGCACAGAACCACTGACAGTCGTTCCTCACTGACACTGACACGCCACATGTCGCAGACACATGACACTTGACTGCTGCATCCAACACTCGATGGCATCAAAGGCACAAAAAACCAGGCATCGGCATGGGCATCGCATTATTCATCATTCCTTGCACAAGTGGCAACCTGGTGATGTTGTGCCATCAACGGCTGTGGCGTGCATTGGCAAGAAGCGGAACATCCTGGTGGCGCTTGCTCGTTTGAGGGGCTGATCCATGTTCACTCCATTGAAGTATGCCATTGGCCCCACCCCAAGATTTTCATCCAATGGGTTTACCGAAAGAGCACAACTAGGGCGGCAGATTGCCTGAAAGGACGTGTCGGGACCATTTGAGTTATGCATGCAACGATTCGGGCTGATGCCTATGGCTTTGAGTAGCATATGCGAGAGTGTGGGGCTGTTCACCGTGATGTAAAGGGAATGTAAAACGACTGAAACATAAGATCGGTCACCAATTCGTGTGGTCTTAGAGGATTATCAGTGCTTGCCTGAAGTGAATGCCATGAAACGCCACACAAGGCCTTGCATGACTGTCTGATCGTCTCCCCTTGTCTGCCATGAAATATGAATGCTGAACGTCTTTGACCGCCCTCTCGATCGCCTCCAAGCACGGCACCATCGAAGCCACGGCCCCATCTTCCATGCTTCAAGCTGAAATATAAACCACTGGGATCTGCTTCCTGATCTGTCTTGTGCTATCATCCCATTTTTGTCGATTGAAGATCAGTCGTGGCCTCCAGGGCTTCCACATTTTGGCGTTGATGGACTCAACTGTCGCTCCCTCCTTCGTTTGCATCGTTGACAACCAGCCCACGTCGTCCAAAGACTCCACATTGTTCCAGGTCCTTTCGCGTGGGTCCATTGAATGCGCCAAGCGGCCGGACAAGATCAACCCGGCCCGTGATCTAATGGCACACCGCCCCTCCAAATTCGCACAATGGCGACCGTAGGATCGAAGTCCAGCGCCGAGGGGCCCATCCAGCAACCAGAACAAGCAATGGGGTGATTAGAGTGTGGGAGGGCAAGTGGCATGCACACATCACCACAACAGGGGTACTCGTCGACACTTGGCTGGATCCCCTAAAGCCTGATCTTCGCGATTGCACCCCCCGTCTGCGCCATCGGCAGCACAGCCTCCCCGCCACGCAGTTCCCATCCTGTGCCATCGACGGATTGCTGAAGGACAGCATTGCATTCAGCACCGAAGATGAATATTGTACTCAGCTGTCGTATTGGACTCAGCTGTCGAAAATTGCAGGTGCGCCAATGGAACATGACGAGACAAACACCAGGAGAGAGGCGCACTGCAGGCAGCGACCTTTCCTCCTGTGACTGCCGCGCCGGGCGCTGTGGTGTGCCAACGCTTTCCAAGAGCTGGCGAGCACCTCTCGATCCAGAACCGGAACCACACCTGGGACCAGGGACTACGGTTCGTGTCCCAGACTTTGCAACTTAGGATCATGGCCGAGCCCGTCCAAGACTCAGCGGCCCCCTTCCTGACAGCGGAAAGCACATGCCGCCAGGGCTGCTGCAAGGGCTGCGCTCTGTCCCCTATCGGCAAATGCAATCAAAAGACTCGCGCAAGTCGACAACGCGCCCTCCCTTAGTGCCCCTGCGGAGATTGTGCTCATCGTGCTGGAGACATCGCCGCTGTCGCCATTCCCACGCCAGTCCAGGCCCAGAACATCGAACCTCGACCTCTTCGTCGCCTTCCGCCGCACGGCCTGCCTCTCCCCAGATCTCATCGCGTCAGGCCGCCCCTGGCCGTCCACCTCAGCCATGGCACCGTCCCCAACCGCCCCGGATCCGCTCCGCCATCAGCGCATCGCCCTCCTCCCGGATCACCTGTGACATTCCCGACGCCCCGCACGACGACTCGCGCACGACGCCGCCCAGCGGATGCAACACCAGGGAATGGTCCATCGCTGTCGGTGGGGCGCAGGGGCGCGCAGCTATCAGCGTGTTCCCGATGAGGACCACTGAAAACCAGACGGAGACCGGGACCCACTCTCCACGAGCCCTAAATACTCACCCCCAAACGCCCAGTTCTAACCCGTCTCCGCCTCTGTCTCCATCTACACAACAGTGACCTGCTTCGGGAATAGTGATCGGATGAGCAGGTGCAGCAAACGGGGCGCAGCTCTTTGAGGAACTTGCGGTGCTCAAGGCCGCTCCCTGGAGATGCCCGCCGCGGCACATTCGGGTGCGCTTCCAGATGGAGCTTTCGGCCAGTGCAGTCCATGGAGCCGCACCTGCGGCTCGGGCGGCGCGACGCTGAGGACCGTCTACTGTGCGCAATGGATTGGACCACCCTCTTCCTTGTCTCTGGCGAGGTGGTTTGGCAGAGCAGTGGGACATCCCATCAGAGGTGCCCGGTTCGATCCCAGGTCAGACTTCTTTGCCATCCGCAGCAAACCACCGTCCCCACCGCCCGCCGCCAGACGGACGCCTCCGGCACGTCGCAGGTGTGCCGCACTGGTAGAATCACCGAGTTGGGTCCAGGAGCTGGCTGCCGTCGCGCGGCCAATCCACCGTGCGCTTTTCAGGAGGCCCGCCACGGCGAGGCCGGGGGAGGGAGCGGGGGCCATGGCGGAGGGGCTCAGTGGTGGCCGTCACAGACATGGCGGAGAAGCAGGTGGAAGTGGCACTTGTGGGTCTGCCTGAAGATGTGCGACATGGAGGTAGCCGGTGCTCCCAACTCACAAACAGCATTCGAGTTCCGCTGAGGCCTATTTTTTTTACTTCCAAATGTATTACAATATGATTTTTTTCTTGCGCAGGGCCAATGCTAATCTTCTCTGTATCGTTCCAATTTTAACAGATGGTTTCCTTTCAACGGAGGCTGCTTCAGTTGATGTACAGTCTTTTCAACAGATCTGCAAAAGCATACACATTCAATGTATGGCAATTTGCCAGTGTTTTCTCCCACCAGTCTTCAAGGATCCAACGATGATACACACGCATCAAACCAGTTTACTGATACTCACCATTCCTGTCATCGTTGCATCCTATCTCTAGCGATTACTTTTGGGTTCATTATCTAGAGGTTCAGCAGCAACGACATCATGCAGGACAATCAGCTCTAGAATGTTCAGAGCGATTGTGTCCTTTACGCCACCTGGGTCCAGAGGACGAGATCCATTTTCTCTTCCACTGCCAGGCCTATGAGGGAGTTCATTATGGCGAGGCTGAGGGAGGGGCCGTTAGACATGGCGGGAGTGGTCCAGTGGATTTCGAGGCCGCAGTTGGTCTGGTGGGTTGACAGGTGGAATTGAGCGCTGTAATGTAATTCGCTGTCTGCTGGGTTTCCTCGGTGCTTCTCTGGGTTCTTGGAGTTTAGTGGTGTCTGAGAGATTCATCATCATGATGAATTTTTACATAACAAAACAAGGCAGTAACCGCAGCGTCCTTGTGATGATACAAGCGCTTCGAACAAATTGTTCAATTAGTCCTGAGAATGCGCAACACCAGAGCATAGATTGCACCGAATTTGTAGTAATTTTAAATCGGGCCAATTAAATGTCCAGCGCAAGGTTTGACCACAGTCAGACACATAATACAAATGTGTCTTGCCTTGGGGGACACACAATCAATGCGCAGAGATTGTACATGCCTTGTTTTTTATCCTATACCGTTATTGGCGCAGTCCCTTTGCCGTGCAAATGACTCCACCTTCTACTGCATATCATCCCATACTTTCCTGGCCTGAGCCAGTTGCAGCGCGGCATTGTGTCGCTGTCGCGCACACGGAATTTCGGCTCTCCTCTCTATCGAAACTGTGTCAAAAATAGAAAAAAATTCTTCTCTTCCACCAGGCAACTGTGTCGCTGTGTCCTGCACTTCGTCGTCTGAAAGCACGTGACACCCCACGACAAGACATATAGCCACAGCTCTTTTCGCGTCAAACATTCAGTGACGGAGTCAAACAAAGCCGCCCAATCATTTGTTCGCCTCCGGCGCGCTGTGCACCAAGCTGCAAGCCACTGTGCCTTGAAGGCATTGACAGAAAAGGCTTGAGCTGTGGGGCGTTCAGGTGGACATGAAGGGGCCCACCGCTGGATTCGGCACCTCGTCGGCAGACTTGCGAAGGTGGTTCATGAGGTCGAGAGTGGCTCGGGACCCCACACAGGAAACCGGAAACGTCCATATTACTGGCGTGGATGAGGTAAGCCACTCCGAGCTTGTGCGACATCTACCGCGGAACGATGAAGTGTCTTGACAATTAGCCACTAGGATGGCCATGCCCCTTAAGGCAAGCATTGGAGTATGTGTCATACGGCCGTTTCCACCTTCAGTGAGAATGTTGGCAAGACTCAACAATTTTTGAATTAGGCATTGTGGTGAGCGAATGAGAATCATTGATAAGGTGCAGCAAAAAAACCACGGTCCCTTCCATGCATTGCGCTGGCGTAATTCTCCATTGATCAATCAATGTTGATAAACAAATAAACAAATAAATCGATAAAGCACTTGAGTTTGTGCCGTCATTATCGCCGGCAAATGCGCTATTGACACGAAGACTAACGATGATAGGCAGCGGTATCTCTCAGATATTGATTGTTTACAGATATTTATTATGTACCATTTGCTGCTTATTGACACAATACTCACATTATTGCTTCCTGAATCGGAAAGTGCGAGATCGCGAACCTGAATGTTCGCACCACCTCCACTGGTGGAGCGCCGAAATCCGGCATCAGCGATTCCTCCTGA